AAACGTTTGGCAACACTTCGGATTCTTCAAAAATGACGGACAACTTGATAAATCACAAGCAATTTGCAAACGATGCCGTGCCGCTATAAAATACACGAGCAGTACAACGAATTTAGCGACGCACCTAAAGAGGTGACATGGGGTGAATAGTACGTCTGCGGCTGTCTCCCTGTCCTCCTCGGATTCAGCTGAAGCTAACCCGGCTATCCCTGGCGGCAGCAAGACTGGTGAGCAGCAGCATATCACAACTTTTGTTCACGCTCCAAGGCAATAACTGACGCCATCGCCTACTTTATCTGTAAAGATATCCAGCCGCACAGTGTCACGGAGAATGAGGGCTTCCAACACCTCCTCCACATTTTGGAGCCCAGGTACCATGTACCAAATAGGAGGTTCTTTACCGAGAAACAAATCCCTGCTCTTTATGACAAAGTGAGAAGAGAGTTAGTTGACTCGCTGAGCAATGCCCAAAGAGTTGCAATTACAGTTGATGGCTGGACGTCTTGCGCCACTGACTCATATTTCACGGTCACGGCACACTATATTGATGACGAGTGGGTATTGCAAAACCATGTTCTGCAGACCAGAGTGTTCAATGAGGCCCACACAGGAAATAATCTAGCAATGTTACTGCAAGAAGTTTGCCGCAAGTGGAAAATTGAAGACAAGAATCCAGCGTTGGTCACAGATAATGCAAGAAACATGATACTGGCTGGAGTTGGTGCACAGATGGAGCCACATGTGCGATGCATCGCGCACACACTAAACCTGGCCACCCAAAAAGCCCTGAAGGTGGACACGGTGTCAGAGCTTCTGGTGAAAATGAGGAAGGTGGTGACTTATTTCCACAAAAGCCCAAAAGCAACTGAAGCTCTCCGTGAAATGCAGATCCAGTTACACCTGCCTCACCACAAGCTAGTGCATGATGTTTCCACAAGGTGGAACAGTTCCCTGGACATGTTGGAGCGTTTTTGGGAACAGCAGCCTGCTGTGTTGAACACCCTGCTGTCAAAGAAGATAAGGAGGGGAGAAGCCATGGCCAGCCTGACAGAGGATGACATGACATTAATCCCAGAGGTCATCAAATTGATGTCCCCCCTGAAAGTAGCAACTACACTCCTCAGTGAGGAAAAAAACCCCACCATCTCAATGATCTCCCCAATCCAGACCAAACTGCGGAGGCAGTTCCAGTCAGATGAGAGCAATCTACTGGTCATTTCCCAGATGAAGGAGCGATTCAGACAGGACTTTGATGGTCGCTACACATATCTCCAAGACCTCCTCCACTACGCCTCAGCACTGGATCCCCGCTTCAAAGACCTGGCTTTCCTGGATGACAACGACACTAAGGACATGATATTCATGAGGATAACAGCAGAGGTGGTGAAGATGGATGGACAGGTAAGAATATACTACTCAATATATTGTAGCTAGTGTCTGTCTCACTTTCACTGTCATTTACCTGTGGCTTTCTTAACTGACGCTTATTTGTTTAGTTTAAGGAAATCTAATAGCTCATCTGTGCTGATTATTGTCAGGCAGGGGATGGTGATACACTTAATGAGGACCAGGCAGCTGAAACAGAAGGTGACACTCTGAATGAGGACCAGGCAGCTGAAACAGAAGGTGACAGGAGCCCCCACAGAGAGGAAGAAGAGACAGGTTTGTTTTGATAGGAACTGTGCCAAATGTTATAAAAGTGTATTGATTTGAAAATGGTGTATAGTATTGTATAGTATTGTATGTCATCATTTTTGTAATCTAAATCTAAAAATCCTCTCTTCTCTTCTTTTCCACTCCCTAGATGATGTCCCTCCCATGAAGAAGACGGCCTTGGACCAGATGTTTGGTGATTTCCTCCCTGCAAGATCACCAGTAAAGACCATAAAGGAGAGAGCTAAGGAGGAAATCTTAAAGTACAGAGAGAGGGATGCTTTAGGTTTGAGTGGTGATGTGTTGCAGTGGTGGAAAAAACAAGTGGATCTTCCACTGCTCTCAACATTGGCAAAGAGCTACCTGTCCATCCCTGCAACAAGTGTACCCTCTGAACGAGTGTTTAGTACAGCCGGTGGCATAGTGACAGCAAAGCACAGCTTGCTTCATCCTGATCATGTTGATCAACTAATATTCCTGAAGAAAAACCTGCAAGCTAGACATATGGGTTAAATCACTCAGTGAGGTGTTATGTCAGTGAGAGTGGTTTTTATTTTACAGCAGCCTGTGACTGCCAATAATAGTTTAAATGTTATTAAGACCTATTTTTGAAAGGTTATTTGTATTCTTTATATGTTCATAATAGAAACCGCTGCTTTCTGCTCACTGGTGAGTTAGCCTACTGAATGAGTGTTATGTACATCAGCCTGGCAGTTGTATGGCCATTGCTATATGGTAATTGTTTTTTGCACATTGTTAATGCTGGTCAATAAGGAATAAAACTAAATCTTCTGTCGTACCATATTGAATTGTATAATTATTTTGCACCGTGTTGAATCGCATCGTATCGCATCGTATCGCCCCGAATCGCATAATATTGAATCAAATCGTATTGAACTGTATCGCAACAGGGGTGAATCGTATCGTATCACATCGCCCGGTGCTTCAAATGTATCGTTAATGTATCGTATCGTTGGCAACGTATCGAGATGCGCATCGCATCGGCCTCAGTTATGGAGAGGCACATCCCTAATCAGGACTGATTCATGACTTCATATTCCATACCAAGGTTCATGTGATGTGTACAAATACAAATTGAGCATTACAACTTTTTCAACCAACTATTTATGTTAACAGAAGAAACTGTAAAATCTCAATATTTACAATATCAGAACTTTTTCAACCAACTATTCATTATAAATGTAAAGACAGGGGGAGCAGTGTCATTGTCTTTGTCTGTCTTCCAAGACGGGTCTGGCTGCTGTGTAGGTGGGGGTGATGGTGCATGGGCTGCTGGTGGCTGTGTTGGAGGGAGGTAGGTGTGATTGTCCCGGGTTGATGCTGGTGGCTGTGTGGGAGGCCTTTGTACCGAGGTGTATCTTAATGGGGAGGTGGGACAGGAGTCTCTCTCTCTCTCACACACACAGGTATTTCCAGTTATGTTACATTAAGTATAAAATCAAAGACACAAATATAAATACATCTATATGTGTGGGACAAATAAAAGTTTATGTTATTCATCTACACATGTTACCTCACTTTTACACACAGAAATAACTTTTACACAGAGTAAACGTTTACTAATGGAGAGTATATTTAGTCACAAGAGAAAGTTCATGACTATCGATAACAAAAAATGGATCAATAAACCTATTGTTCATTTTCGCGGTATTCCCCATGTAACCCCTGTGTTATGTCTTCTCTTTTTGATGGATCACTCTGAGATTGTCAGGCTTTTGATAACAGCTGCTTTATTCCATCTTCAATTCCATGGCAGAGGACAAACGAATATAAAGGACACTCTTATGTTGTGCATCACGTTCCATTAGCTATCCTCAACGGATTGATGATTTCCCAAAATCCACTGTCATGTCTTAATAATGCAGGCACACATTTACGACACTAGAAGGCGTAGTTCTACCATTTAGCAGGATTTTACTACAACCTATTTAACTATGTTACACACACACAGTGCAAGTACACTATTACTGTAATATTTACACTTATTTATCTTCAAATGGATCCTTGTTGCTGTATTCTTCTTCTTCAGAAGAGTAGAAGCCTTCAGGTTCTGATGCTCCATCTCCACTGCTGCTAGTGTTACAAGTCCGCTGTGCAGAGCTGGTAATCAGACAATAAGCCTGTTGAACAGGAGAAAAGAATGAAGCAGAGGGAAAGTTGCTGCCGTTTGTCTGGTCGTTTTAGCCAGAATTTATTAAACACATTAATACATTCACTTACAAATGATATCTGTTTTCTCTATTTATCTAATCATTATTTGTTCTTAATGTAAACATACATTTAGCAAATCAAAATAGCATGACATATTTGTCTCTAATCAAAAATGGAAATAAATCCACATGCCATATTATGACTTTTATGAAGGATTAAAGCCTTCTTCATTTACAGTATATAATACAGTGATAACACACCCAACCCGGTTGACTGTACTCACTTTAACATGGCTCTGTTGTACACTGACAGGCACAATATTAGCATAGCATTAGCGCTATTAGCATTTAAATAATATGAACAATTATGACCTCAGACCAGCAATTCACATATTTATACAAACAGAATACACTTGAAATGTATGCCAAACTAGTGCACGGGAGTCATACACATAGTAACATAGTAGTTTGAGCCCTACATTATTCAGGGAGCGATAGCCTATGCTAAAGAAGCTAGCGGACGCCATTAGCCACACACTGGGTGTTTCTCAATCGCGAGTAAAGCTGCTTCAGAGCCACTATTTCAAGCATACTACGTCATCGAGTGCCGCCGAAGTACTGTTCCAATGTCCAGCATACTTGGAGATCTACCGAGCCCGGCGTACTTCGTAGCGAGACATTTCGAGGCTGCACATGTGTAGACTCCGCGGTCTTAAAATCCCCACAATGCTTTGCGCACGGACCAATTTCCCCAAATCTGTGGCGGAAAATGTAAGGCGGGGCCTCTCATATGACGCACACCTGCACACTTGCTAGCCTGTTCCACTCTTTGTTTTCAGAATGCCAGGAAGTATTCTTGCTCGGCAGACATGTGCTACCAAGCAAGTGTACTCGCGATTGAGAAACACCCACTGTAGTGGAGCCAAACTAGCTCACAGAATGACATTAAACTACATATAAAACAGTTTCAAACACACTTCTTAGATCGAAATATGACATTATCTTTGTACAACCACTAACCTGTTGAACAGGAGATATGAAGCAGAGGGAAAGTTGCTGCCGTTTGTCTGGTCGTTCCATGGATGTATAATGTTCTAGCCGTTCGCGCGAAATAAACGGGCGAATTATGGCACTTTTGGCTTTCCATAGTTCCATACTATGCAGCAGCAGCAGCGGATGAGACCGTTTGGCTGAAGATGGCGGATTCGCTGTCGTCAGGTCTGGGAGAGGAGCAGGAGAATGAGAAGGAAGACAGGGAGCGGGTCGGGAAGGCTGCCAAAACAGAGAAAAACAAGGAGAAAGACAGAGTCACGGACACCCTGCGGTCCAACGATAAAAACGGAGGCAACAATGGCAAGAAACGCAACCTGTCAGGTGAGAGCTAGCATCGTTACTACAGCCTGTAGGCTGACAGCGCTAACGCTAGCTAGCTGCTGTGGCTGTGCTGAAGTGATTTTAACTCAACTGACCAAGTTGTGTTTGGTTATATAACATAACTGCACTGTATAGGTGGTTATATGTGTTGCTTGAGCACGCAGTTTCAATTTCAATATGTTACTAATAGTCTGTGCAGCCTGTGACACTGTTCCGAGTTTGCAATTGATCCCTGAATGTGGCTAACTATATCACTTCAGCTACTGTTTCTTAAACACTCAGCTGATTTAAAGTGACGTTGCGTGTCTCATTTATGTTATATGCATCCTAGCTGTTAGACGACTGTCAGCGAGACCGCACGATTGCATGTAATGATGTACTAAACATGCAGAAGTGTAGATAGGCCAGTTTGCAGCTATGTCAAAGTAAGACGTGCTTCTTTGCACAGGCGCATTCAGGAGCGCGGCCGAGAGTGGGAAACGTGTTTATACTTTATACTTTTGTATGTCGTTCCAATTATGTCAAGTCAATTATATAGGCAATTCAGGAGGCTTTACAATGTGTCCATCACTCGACACTTATGGTTTTTACCGCCGCTTTAGGGAACGCTACCCCCCAAAAAACGGAAAAAACTTCAGGAAAAGCTAAGCAATAGAGCTAAACGAAACAAGAACATATGATATTATTTGAATAAATATACAGAAGTTAGAATTAACTTTTTGCTGTTTTTAGTTTACTGCTAAAATACAATGAATTGCTTGTTGAATTTGAATAAATGAAAGAAGAAGATGAACTATTTTCGATAAAAGTGTGCTTCCAAAAGTTCTGGGAAAGCCCTTTACTGTTTCACCAAAACAATGCCCCCCATACACAAATCAAAGTCAATAGATAATGTTTTCCCATGGTGTGTAGATAGAAGACCTTAAATGCCCTGAACTCATCCAACAACTTTAGGATGAACTCACTCAGCCCTGACGGTGAGCCAAACAATGACCAAACATCAGTCTTCCCTCTAATGCACTAATTGTGACTGGATGGGGGAAAAAACCGCCATGCTACAAAACTTTTTGGAAAATGTTCCAAAGCTGTGTTCGAAAGCTGTTACCGTTCATGGTGTTCGCGGGTCAATTTTGACCCATGATTTATCTCCATCTCCAAAACACTCCAAATTAATGACCAAACAATCCTGTTGTAATTTAAAGGTTATGATGGAGTTAAAACAATATTGGATGATAGTCATTATTTTGGAGTGTTTTGGAGATGGAGATAAATCATGGGTCAAAATTGACCCGAGAACACCATGAACGGTAACAGCTTTCGAACACAACACAAGGGTTAAAGATGAATATGACATGTTGTTCACACTGACTTTGATTGCTTACCATGTCACTGGACTCTAATCTTCAAAATAAATGTTTATTTTATGTGTGATAATGTACACAATTTTAGTATGGATAATATGTCACTTTATTTCTTTATTTCATTCAACATGTATTATTAATTACTGTGTGTATGTAAATGTGTTGGACAATTGCAGGACTAGCCCTCACTCCATATTTGTTTTATTTCTGACTCGGATGATAAACCAGGCCTGTCATAAAATGCACCCCCCCCCCAAAAGATGTTTATATTAATCCCACCCTCAAGCATTTTTCAGGGTATAGTTGTAGGACTAGTACCAATGAATGGAGCAAGTTTCATGTATGTGACCCTTTTATTTTGTAAGATATTAAGGGGGGGCATATTGTGATAACCAGGCCTGTCATAAAATGCACCCCACCCAAAAAGATGTTTGTATTAATCCCACCCTCAAGCATTTTTCAGGGTATAGTTGTAGGACTAGTACCAATGAATGGAGCAAGTTTCATGAATGTGACACTTTTATTTTGTAAGATAGCAAGGGGGGGCATATTGTGATAACCAGGCCTGTCATAAAATGCACCCCCCCCCCAAAAGATGTTTCTATTATTCCCACCCTCAAGCATTTTTCAGGGTATAGTTGTAGGACTAGTACCAATGAATGGAGCAAGTTTCATGAATGTAACACTTTTATTATGTAAGATAGCAAGGGGTGCATAACGTGGCAAAAATATGCTGACAAAGACTATGTAACATTTGTAAACATATATTTTGATTATTATATGACAAATATGTAAAATTAAACAATACATTTCAAAGCACGTGTACACAGACAGGACGTAACAATAATAAGAAAAAAAAAAAGATTAAAAAAAACAAAAACTGAAAAAGAAGTGACGAATGAATTTCGACACCATATATATATATGAGCTACCACTAAACAACTCACAGTCTGAAAATTACCATTGTTTTAAGGTGTAAACGTGTCATTTAGAAATGCGCGTTCCCGTGACAAGGGGGGCATTTCATGATGGGGGTGCATAATTTGACACAACACCGGCACCGCCCTTTATTATTATATTGTCTAAACGGCATCATGTAGTCTAAGTTGCGCTGACAGGCGACACAGAGGTCCAAAGTGTACCCCCCCCCTTGACAGTTCACGAGCGCGTCCATAGTGTCTCCCCCCCCCCTCCCCATCCACCCAGTAAAAAAATCCCCACTACACCACTGCATATGGTTGTAATATTTGGTTGTGGACCTGTTCGGTCATATAGTTAAGGTATTTCCTATCTTAATGCACATTTGAATGGTTTATTATGAGCTAAGGACTCCCCTTTGTCTGCAGTGTAAAACAGGCACCTGCTGCTAACATGAAGGAAACTATAAATGCTTTTTAGGATTATAGTTATTTTGATCACTAAGGTGTGCCATTTCTAATTTCCCTTAGAAGGCTTTATTGTGCATGTCTATTAATTCAGTTATTTGTCTTCTGTCCATTTCTTGCTATAGACCTGTCTCTGGTCAGATTTATAACTACTGAGCTAACCAGAGGCTACTTCCTGGAACACAATGAGGCCAAATACACCGAGCGCAGAGAGAGGGTCTACACCTGCCTCCGCATCCCCAAGGAGCTGGAAAAGGTAAAAACTAACAATTCAGTGTGACACAATTTATTACAAATAAATAAATAGTATTATATTATTCTCCATGTCTCTCATTCTCTCTCTTTAGTTGATGACATTCGGCTTCTTCCTCTGTCTGGATGCCTTCCTCTATGTGTTCACCCTGCTGCCCCTCAGGGTAATTCTGGCTCTTTTACGGCTCCTCACGTTGCCTTGCTGTGGCCTCGGGTAAAGTACACAATCTTTAGGAATGCAAATACACCTCCTTTATCTAACCTTAGCCACATTTGTAAACAGGACCTGTGAAGCATTGTTTTTAACCTCTATAGAGGGCAGTACAGCTCTCTCTGCATTTGTCCAGACCGTTTATAACCTGTTCTGTTCTCCCTCTCTTCTTGTGACTTTCCTCTGTGAACATTTCTACCATGTATAATTTGTGTGTGTGTGTTTTAGTGGCGCCCGCCTGCTCCAGCCGGCCCAGGTGTGTGATGTGCTGAAAGGCTTCATCATGGTGCTGTGTTACTCCATGATGAGCTACGTGGATTACTCCATGATGTACCACCTCATCAGAGGACAGTCTGTCATCAAGCTGTACATCATATACAACATGTTAGAGGTACACCATGATAATATTGCAATTATAATCTTTGTATCTGATGTATCTGATTCTACTGTACAGTGAAGTACTAACTAATCTGCTCTCTCTCCTCCTCTCGTCCTCCCCTGTTTTGATATCAGGTGGCAGACCGCCTCTTCTCATCATTTGGTCAGGACATCCTGGACGCTCTGTACTGGACAGCCACAGAACCAAAGGAGAAGAAGAGAGCGCACATAGGCGTGATTCCTCACTTCCTCATGGCTGTGCTCTACGTCTGTATCCTCACTGAGAACGGCCTGGGATTGTTGTTACCAGTTTGTGTGCTTTTGTGCGTTGTTCTGTAAAACAGACGGGTCAGGAAATGGACAGACCTTTAGAACCACAACAATTAGTCATTCGGCAGGAAATCCATCAGCAACATGTTTGATAATCTATGAAACGTTTAAGTAAAAGAAACAGAGAAAATATGCATACAAATAAGGATGTAGTCATTTTCACCTTTGAATAACAAAAAGTCACATTGACATCGTTTATATTACAAAATATCTATATCTAATATGGGTCAGTCAGTTGTGTGTGTCTTTTTAAGCGTTACGAGTCCAGAGTTTGCCAATGTTTAGACTTTTTTTCTTGTCTTTACTGAACAAACAATATCTTTTGGGTTTAGACTGGTCGTACAACAGAAGCAGCTCGAAGTCAACTAGTGCTTAGAGAGTCTTTTTGGACCTTTTTATTGAAAAAGCAATTGGGTCAATGATCTAAAAATAATCTGCAGATTAATCACTAATGAAATAACCATCAGTTGCAACCTAGCAGAGCTTTTCTTTGGACTACTAAAACAATCATACTAATGGGCCTGAATCAGAAACAGTTAACACACAGCATGATATTCTTCGCTGTACTCCTCAGTGTTTTTTCCTTAGCACATATTTATCTAGTTCTCCATGCCATCCTCATCATGGTTCAGGCCACCACTCTGAACGTAGCCTTCAACTCCCACAACAAATCCCTGCTCACCATCATGATGTCAAACAACGTGAGTATAATGCACACAGACATTTAACTGAATTGTGTAGCATGAGTTCAGCCATGATCTTTGTTTGTTTTTTGCAGTTTGTGGAGATCAAAGGAAGTGTGTTCAAGAAGTTTGAAAAGAACAACCTTTTCCAGATGTCAAACAGCGGTAAGTGTTCAAAGATCTCTAAAACAGCTAAATATAAGTCGCAAAATCAGCGGTCTGCGTATATTTTCTAACTCGGCCTATGAAGTACAAGGTAAAATTATGGAATTGAGCTCTACCGCAGTGAGTACAAACTAGGTTAATCCGGGATTGATTTGTTTCGTTTTCCACAGACATAAAAGAGAGGTTCACCAACTACATCCTCCTGCTCATCGTCTGTCTGAGGAACATGGAGCAGTTCTCCTGGAACCCTGGTAAATGAACGCAGTGCTGCACAGATAATGTGACATTACTGTAACCTACACACATGGTTCATCTCTATGACAGCTACAAGTTACATCATGCTGCTCCTCACAGCTACATCCTCTGGTATTATCAGCTTGGTTCAGCAGTGAACTGTCACTACATTTTTATGTCAAATATTTTACTGAATATTGTCACTTAAAGGTGGGGTATGTAATTTTGGAGAAACCAGCTCGAGTGCGCTAGAATTTGAAAGTACACAACCGGAAAAAATCTGCCTCTTCCTTCAGACTTCCTTACAGAGCCCCTCCTCCAACACACACGAACGCGCACATGACCAATGAGGGCACGAGATAAGTTTGTGCACAGATGGAAGGCTGACGGGCAGGTACGCCATCCAGTTAGCCGAGCCGGCTAAAATGATTGGTCGTGCTTTTTACAGCGCTACGGCTTCCACAGATGAATTTTTTTTATGTATTTATTGTCAAAGCATTTCATTTATTCATTGCTATCGGGATGTTAAGAGCATTCCATGGAATATAACAAAAAGTGTTTCTGAAATAAATTACATACCCCACCTTTAATAGTTTTTAATGTTTGTTTTCAGACCACTTCTGGGTGCTGTTTCCTGATGTAGTCATGGTGATTGCCTCTGAAGTTGCTGTGGACGTTGTTAAGCACGCCTTCATCACCAAATTCAATGACATCAGTGCTGATGTGAGTTTGCATGCAGCATTTTCGCCCTTTATACATTAGGTTGTTGTGGAGTAGGTGTCTTGAAGTGTGTCAAGGCACCTAAGAGAGCAATATTGTTGTTTGAAAGAGAATCAAACACAAAGAACACGTTTGAATTTGACAAAATCTGAATTTCATGTTTGTTTACTAGTTATTTTAAGTGCTTTTAAACCAGTTCTTACACTCCTCATCTCAGTAAATGGGCCCTTTTTGCCCTCTCCTCTTTTTTAATGTACTTTTAGCAGAGCCTGCAAAGGCTTAATAGCTATTAGTGATAAATAACAAAGACACAGATGTGCCCGCACAGATTTGGATGTGGTCTCTTGACACTGAGCAATCTCCATCCACTGACAGGACAGTGAGAAGCGGTCAAAAGTTCAGCAAACAGCTAACAGGCCTAGATTTGATATAATCCTTTTTCTATTTACTTTTCAAAGGTGAATTCATTTTGAGCTCAACACACTCTATTCGGTTCGACTGTATTGACATACACCAGGTGTTTTCTCTTCCTCTTTGATTTCCTGCAAGGAGATGTAACCTTGGTTATGTAACAGAAACCAACTCCACAAGAAGGGATTAACCCCTTCATCTCCAAAGTGTAACATAATCACACATGAGTTAGCGTCCAAGCAAACATGCTGTCCACATTTAATCCATGTGTGCACATTGATTTTTTCTTTTTATCAAAATGTAATTTGGCTCATCTCCTGCCGCTAACCAAACTAAACCTCATATAAACACATAACGGATGAATGCATAACTCCCTCTGCTGATTCCATTTATTTGAGCAGCTGTATGTTCTTTTGATATTTTTCAGCTTTTTGGACTAATGTTGTTACTGTATGTTGTTTTTCCAGGTATACGGGGAATACAGAGCCAGCCTTGCCTTTGATCTTCTCAGCAGTCGACAGAAAAATGTGAGTGAAATGTGTTCAAATATCAGATTTGCTCCCAAACTAGGTCAGAGATTGTCCTACTTAGGGGTTAGCATCCCATGTTGGGTCACCTGTCTATCTATTTATATTAACAGTACATTGAATGACTTTTTATCATTAGGTTTTTTTTATTCTGGCAGTGAGCTCAATAAACTACAACTTAAGGATCAACACCTCTGCTCATGTTGTTTCCATATAGCAACATTTTTCTCAATACAAGCAGCGATACTAAGGGTATATTATCAACACAAGGATATAATATTAAACTAGAAATGCAAAAATGTATAAACTATTAGATATCAACAATTTTGATTATTTAATAATTGGTTTTATTTGTTACATATGGTCACACTGTAAAAGCCAACCCTTACTGCGAACTGGATTTATTGTTGTTTGTATTATATAAGTATAAGCTATTCTACAATTCTCAATCATTGTACATTTTTTGTTAAAGAGTGAATGTGAAACAAAGAATGATGATTCCAATATCACAGATATGTTCTCCAATCTTTATTGAGATATCATTATATGAGTAAGTTATGTACTTTTGTTATGGAGGAATATTAATGTTGATTCTTGTTGATATCTATTTGATAATATGTCTTAAATATGTCTTAAATGTGTCTCCAGGCTTACACAGACTACAGTGACTCAGTCTCCAGAAGAATGGGCTTCATCCCGCTCCCTTTAGCTCTGCTGGTCAGTCACTGTATATGAAAATATCAATTTCTATTCCTTTCATGTATTTTCAGTGTAAGGGGTTATGATTATGTGTTTGTGTTCCTTATTTTCAGTTGATCAGAGTCGTAACCAGCTCAGTGAAGATCCAGGGTTCGCTGTCCTTCATGTGTGTGCTGCTGTTTTACCTGGGGTTAGTAGACACTTTTGCAGTGTTATTTGTGTTTTTGTTTTGTTTATTTTGTGTTGATTATGGTTGCCCCTGTGGACAAAAGCGGTAGTTTCCATGAGCAACACCGCCACGTTTTGTATAGGAAAGACTTAACTTGGTCATGAAGGGGGGTTTGACCAATACGATGACTCACTCTAGTGGTTTAGATTCATATACAAACTTGTCTTGAATAGCTGGTTTCAAATTCAACTAATGTTAGCTGAAGCCATTTCTAGCTTTGTTTTAGCCCCCAATGGTAATTCATATTGATGGAAATCCAAAGTTCATTTCTGTCCTTTGAGATTGTTTTTTTTATTTTGGTCAATTATTTCTTGTTTTCTTTGCTTATCCTTCCCGAGTAGCTGTAAGCATCAAATATAATATAAAAAATAAAGCAATGTAAAGGTAAATCTATATAGTCATATAAATATATAATGTTCTCGCTGAAAGTCACATTCTTGTGTCGGTCATATAGAGATATTAGTTTTATATTCATACTTTTCCTTAACCAGTTAACATTTTCTTGTTGTACCTTCAAAGTTTGCACTTTCTCACATATCCACATGTTTTGTGTGTGTTTGCGCAGGATGATCACTCTGAAGGTGCTCAACAGTATCCTTCTGCTGGGTACGTCTTGTGGATTCGTGAAAGAGGCCAACATGGAAGAGAAGCTCTTCAACCCTCCGCCCCCCGTCGTCTCGAGCCGTGCAAACTCCAGAGCTCACCGCACCAAAACCGTCCACATTCCACCACAGCAAGGTAGCAGTTGATCCAACTCTTACAATAATAACAGCCGCAGACTTACTACTCAAAATCTTAATAGTTTTGTTTTTAACAATGGTACCTTGATATAATATTAGCCCTTGACCTAGTACTAATTTTTACTGTATAGCGCTTAGATGTATCAAAATGCAACCTTATAGCATTAGCAATAATGCTCCGTTAACTTGCTGCTAACAGTAAACATCAGTTTTTATGCTGATTTCATCATTATCTGAAATGTTTTCCCGATGTAGCATTAGCAAGGGAAAAGGGAATGTAATATTGCATTGCTGTGAGCTAAAGTAAAAATACAGCTGACGTAAAACAAAGGTTCAGATTGGGCTCAATAGCTCAGTATTGCCAATGCCAATCAGGTGAAAATGCATTGCTCTACTCAAATTCTGATCTTTGAGATCAAATTTGGACATCCCTTTAAAAATGTAAAGGGTCATGTGATTTGATGTGCCTGTATGATTATTCTTGACGCTTGCAATGTCAAGCCCTGTTGATCTAATCACAGTAAGTTTAATGACATAGATGATCATGCAGGCCATTTTGTTGACATCCTGTCTTCGTTGTTGATGAACATATTTAGTCACAGTCTTTGTTAAAAAAATGAACACTGCTTATGACAGTTGCTAAGCTTTGATTGGATAATTGCTATTAGTATTAAACCTCCTCCACTCTCTCTCAAATAGAACCCACAATCGACAAAGGAGGAGCATCCGTGGCAGCAGATGTTTCTCCGCCCCCCAGTGTGGCAGAGAGCTCTGCCCCAACACTCCCCAAAAGTGACTCAGACACTTTCCTGACCACGCCAGACGGGGATGATGATGAAAAAAACATCAACGCCGACACCGGACTGGAAGGTCTCGAACCACGAACACCCAAGAAAGACTTGCTGGAAATAGACCGCTTCACCATCTGTGGCAACCGAATAGACTGAAAGCCACAGGGAAACAACCAGTCAGTGTGCCCTGGCAAAACGCCAAGATTCAGGGATCAAGAAACACGGGTCGGACTAGAGAAACTTCCGTGCACCTGACCCCTGAGTATTTATTTATTTATTACTGACAAAACCAGCCAAGGCATAACGCTGTTACTACAAGCATCACAGGCGGCCTCAGATGTCTCCATCTGGTCCAGCCGGTGCCTCGTGAACCAGGTTCACTCCGGGGATTGGTCTTGGTTGTCACGGCAACCTGAAGACATGCTTGCTCATGACTATGGGAGAAAACTGGCCTAGCTGTAGAAGAGCACGAAGACAGAAACACATATGTGACGTAGTGCCACGTGGATCGCTGTGTGATAAAATGACAGCTGGGAAGTGCGAGTACGTGTTCAAAAGCACAATCATGCGTACCGTGCAGATTTGTTTTTAGAAAGAATAAACTTGTCCATTTTTTAAACATTTTTTTTATTTCAAAAGCCTGAAAAATTCTAATATTTAAAATGAAGTTTTTATGAAGACTCTCAGATCTTTTTCTAGAATCGACCTGCAGGACTAAGACTCACAATCACATTAACACACTGTTGAAATCCCAATGTTCACACACATCTAAAATGGTCTTGTTTAAAGTGAATTACTGTGATGACCCCGAGTGTCCTTAGCGCTCTGACATGGCAGCAGTGACATTGGGTGCAGTCCTGCTGAGTGCACTGGCTTTGGTTACAGAGGTTACTTTACCTTTTAGACGCAGATCAAAGTTTGGAGGTTTTAGTGTCATGCAGCTTGTGTTAATATTGTTACTTTAAGCACCGAGATAGGCTGGTGCCTGTTTGTAAAGACAGTATTTATTTAAAATTCAACTCTAAGCCAAGTTTGGAAGATATTTCATTTTTAGATGATTTTCTTTTTCAAATGCTTCATGTCAACACGCATGTGGCCAACAGTTTGGCACGTCTTGGTGTAACACCACTGTGTTCTTGGTCTCAAAATTCTTGGTGTGTGACACTCTCAGATCAGCATCAATTAACATATTTTGTTATTATTTCCCATTATCTTTGCAGTGATATGAGAAATAATTAAGGTTGCATGTATGCAGGTGAAATGTTTAAGGGTATTGTGTGATAATCATCTATCAAAAATAACAAGGATCATATGAGCACTTTGGTTGAACCATGCAGCATCTTTTTATTTTCCTGAGAGCTGTAGGAAGTCAGGTTTGAATCCTAAATGTCGCTGACATTGAGTGGTGTGTTTGTTGTTCGGCTGGCTTTGGTAATTGGAAGAAGCTTTTTCCAAATGCTTTCATTTTTATATAACGACCTTTAGAAGCTGTAAAAGCTGGAAGCATTGTTGATCATATCATTTCTGAAATTCTGCTGAATTCAAGCTAGCCCTACATTTAGCATCTCATGCTAATATCCTGTTGTATTTGATTCAAGCAACAGTGCTTAACATTTGGATTTTTGAAAAAGAAATACCCAGTGATTTTTAAAAGGTCTTTCAAATTAATTAATGCTTCTCTGAAGATATTTCCAGAATCATCAAAGACGTGTGTGTGTGTGTGTGTGTGTGTGTGTGTGTGTGTGTGTGTGTGTGTGTGTGTGTGTGTGTGTGTGTGTGTGTGTGTGTGTGTGTGTGTGTGTGTGTGTGTGTGTGTGTGTGTGTGTGTGTGTGTGTGTGTGTGTGTGTGTGTGTGTGTGTGTGTGTGTGTGTGTGTGTGTGTGTGTGTGTGTGGTGTGTGTGTGTGTGTGTGTGTGTGTGTGTGTGTGTGTGTGTGTGTGTGTGTGTGTGTGTGTGTGTGTGTGTGTGTGTGTGTGTGTGATGGATCTCACTGCTACTTCAAGACATACTCTATATGTGAATCGGATATTGCATTGTTTTTATTTTGTTTGTACAACAACCAATCTATGTTACAAATCTCGTATGTGGTATAGAAGGAGAATAAAACCAGATTTTGTTTTGTAACCCTTTTTGTTGCCATCTTAATGTTCAATAATTTATGTGTGTGAAGTGTCTTTCTGTGCGTGTTTGAGCATGTGTGTGTGTCTCTAACTTCCCCCACATGTATTTGGATTTCATCTAGACATATGAAAAGGCTCTGATGAGGAGACTGTATCCTTCCCGTAATTGTTACTTCAAACAAACATCCTGTAAGTTCCATATTTACTTAACTACCTTTAGAGTCTACTTGATGTTATGGAAGTTGTAAAAGTTCTCTGTAACCATATGATTTAAATAGTAGCAGAAGACAATTTGATTCAAAAATCTGTAATACGTTGAGGAGAAATCATCTTTCATATACAAAACTACAACTAACCTTTCAATACACCATACATATACTTATCAAGTTATGGTTTCACATTTGACATCATTCATACATAAACTGTTATCTATGCTTTGAGTATTTTTCTCCTGCAGTTGCAGAGGTGGCCCAGTGTAAACACATCGGTAACATTGTGGACAGCATGGAGATAGTAGTGTGCAGCTTCATACTGTAGTGGATTCAGTGGAAAGGCCCCAGAACACTGAGTGTGAGTGTGAGTGTGTGTGTGTGTGAGAAACAGTGGCGAGTGTTTCACTGAAAGGAGTCACTGCGGGCTCTGTTCACAGGGCAAACACTGCAGACCACTGTTCCCCCTCAATGGGCATTTAGAGAGGGTCTCTTTCATCACAGTCATTCTCACACACAGGGGAACTTTTTATTCAACTCTGATAAATGATCTGCTTCTGGAAACATGACTTGTGTTTTCCTGATTATGTCAACATACTTCACATTTACATTTAACCCGTGAAGTGTCATGTATCATGTAAAGTGACTGTGAGGAGGCGAGAGAGGATGAAAGAGAGTGCTGACTTATCAAAGGCTTAACCGGGCTATAATGTTACTTTTGAACTGAACTTTGGGTTTTCCCTTTTTTTAACTCGAACCCTGTGTGCTTGACATTTTTTCACAAGCCTTGACCGTCTATCTAACAACCTCAGAGCTGAAGGTCAGCCGCTCAGTGACCTCAGAGTCAATTACCTGTCGTCACATTTGGTGGAGGAAGAAGTACCTAGATCCTGTTTTTAAGTAAAAGCACTCATACCATAAAAATAATCAAGAGTCCCTGCATTGAAAATGTTTACTTCAGTAAAAGTATGTGTGTATGATCAGGAAAAAGTACTTAAGTTTCAAAGGAGAAGTTTGTCCCCTGTGACACTGTTAATGTTATCATATGTTAATTTATTTATGCATTCATGTAAAAGCAGGATTCTGCTGTTGTTGGGATGGAGCTTATTTTGAACTTTTAACCAATATTTTCAATAACGATGGATCTGCTGATTCATTTCTCCATTTACAGCTAGATTATACGATTTTTAAAATGAGTCAAAATAGTGATATATTATACCTTACAATTACCCAGAACCCATGACACCTTCTAAATGCAAACGGTCTCTGAATTATATTAAATAGCCTAAAAGTATAATAAAATATAAAAAATATATTTAAACATCTGGGTAGCTTTAGGATGTCCTTCTGGTGATACAGTTGTATCAATATAGCCTACATTTAAAATGTTCAAATTATTTTAAAATATACATTTAAATATGTTATCATAAAAATTAAGAAATAAAATAAGAAATTAAGCATATAAGAAAGGTTATTAACCTGGACATTACATTGGTCAAACACTATTTGACACTGGCATGTTAAATTCAAAGTAAAAGAAAAATAGAAATACTCAGTGAATTTACACGTAACCTGCCTTAAATGTGTATTTAATTACAGTATACTTCTTATGTAAAAGTATTTAGTTACTTTCCACCACTGACAGGTGATTTGACTCCACGGTGTCGCGCGGCACAGCCGGCGAGCTTTTAGCGAGCGCGCGCGTTCTGGGGTTTTACGTGCACGGGGGATTAGGGCCGGTGAGAGTGAGCGAGGACACCGAGACCACGAGCACATCCTCGGCCGTTAGTCATCTTTTGTCGTCGTAGAAGAAATCCGAGAAAATGTCTCCGTACCGGGAAACAAGCAGGAGATAACGGCTGAAACTCGACCGTTGGATGTGAAGTTTAAAAGTTTCTGACGGTTGATAGTGAACTGCGGGGATAAACCTCCGGGAGGGACAGGTGTCTTTCGTCCGTCTCCCCTCTACAACCCCTAGGGGCTAGGACTTTTACTTAATTTTTTTTGTATAAAGCTGGACTTTTCTGAGCCATGTTGTGGACAAGTTGGCTCGTCCTGCTGCTCTGCTGGGGGGCCACCAGCGGCGAGCAGCAGGCGGAGGAGAGGGACGGGACCCCGGTGGAGGCCCGGGCGGAACCGCAGAGACAGCGGTCCCCTCCCCCTGTGGAGCCGTTGGATTTTGGGTTTGTACCGGCTGCTGTTTACGATACCCACGCTTACTTTGAGCCAGGACCTATTGGGCTTCTCTTCCACATGGTCCACGCTTTTCTCTACGTTGTTCAGCCGAACACTTTTCCTAAAGGTGAGATTATCCCACCCCCCTCCTCCCCACCCAGGTTCCTCATCTTTACTCCGTGTCTTATTCCCCTCTGAGGAGGACTCTCAGCTCTTTTTCTTCTTTATACAAGTCATTCTGCATAAACACAACGCTCATATCACCAAATAACCTAATGTAGGAGACTAGGAGTGACCCTAACAGGTGTCAAACTCACCATTACCTGATGAGGGGTTTTCAGCTTTAATGTCACTGCAAAGGATTTTAACGGCGGTTGCCTCCGTGAACCCAAACCGTTAAGATATAAAGAATAAACAAGATACAAACATGATGATAACGTATGGCATGCAATACAAGTATGATTGAATAAATAAAGAACTTGTAAATCAGTACCAGAGATGGAAGAAGTACTCAGATCTTGTGTAAAAGTAGAAGTCCTTCAATTAAAAGTACAAAAGTATGACTGTCAAAATATAAGTAAAGTACCAAAAAAAGCATATATTTCAGAATAATATTATATGTTTTGATTACAATTATTGATGCATTAAAGTGTTTATCAAAGCTGGTAAAGGTGCAGCTAGTTTTGCATTAAGTGTTGATTATATTTCTCATCAATAAGGCCCCTTAACAAAATCTGCAAAGTAACTAAAGGTACGAAATACAGTAAATATAGTGGAATAAAAGTACACTATATAGCTCTGATTTGTAGTGGGGTATAAGTATAAAGTAGCAACAAATTAAAATACTCAAGTAAATTACAAGTCCCTCAGAATTGTACTTGAGTAAATCTACTTAGTTACTTTTCACCACTGATCTCTACTAAGGGGTCCATCACACTGCAATGAGAAGCTGCCAGAAAAAATGTAGGCCAGTTAATTAATGATGGGAACATGATAATAATGCATGGTACTAATCCTTCAGTGTTTACTGCCAATGACTATGAGTTTTGGATAGTCACTGTGATAGATAGCAGAAACTTTGGCCAGTGGTCTGTCTGATTACACTGTCTATCTTCGCCATCAAATATAGCCAAATGGTCCTCTACTTGGGGTTTTAAGTGGTGACAAAATGATTAAGTTGAAAGAAAAAAACAACAATTATTTTGTCTCTCAAAAAACCTTAAAAAACAAGCCAGAAGGAAATCTGTGTTTTCACATAAACCTGAAAAGCAAGCGATAACCTGTGCTCAGGGGTCACTGGTCATATTATTTCAGAAATCCTGATCTAGCGGTCTGAAGCATCACAGACTAACTGAACTAATTTACGTCACAAACTAAACAACAAAGTCCAAAAAACATGGGAAACCTCAAAGAGCTTGCCGGAAATGTTTGCACACTACTGCTGAATCTGTATTCTTTCTTCAACTTTGAATCTAATGGCTGACTCGATGCATGACTTCCATACAACACACCTAATTAAAACTCTTCTGGTTCAAAACGGCACACGTGCGGTTAGGGACGGCATGCTTTGATGATATGTGCTTGTTGAGCTCAAAAACCAACACTATGAGCAGAATATTGGGATCAATAGCTCATAAATGATCCTCTTGGGCGCCAATGCTGTAACATTATCGCGGTGATTAAAAGGTGATCAGGTCCGTCTTTAATCAATACACGCATGGTGAATGTTGTTTTCCTGGTCACCTGGTGTAGTGCAGTTAATTGATGGATATATAGAGCTACAACCAACTAAAAGTGTTTTGTTTGTGTACCGTATGTACGGCTGTGAGTGGTCATGTTGGAGGATGACATAGTGCAATAGGATTGAAGGTTTTATATTGCTGCCATTTTGGTGTCCAGGGTCAGTGCCGCTGGCTTGGTAATCAATTAGCAGATCAGCGATTAGAGGAGGATTTCTCTGTCACCTGTATCCCTTCGTAATACCTTAATCCGCTGGACCATATGCTGCTGCTGCCAGGGACTTTCCAGTATTTATTACTGTCATACACACGCACAGGTAGAGACCACCTGGATGTCCTGTCACAATCCCACATATCATAATCATACTAAATCCTGCGTGTTGATTGACACATAATAAACACAACATACATACTTTCAGGTTCAATATGACATTGTTTACATCTGCTTTACTGAAGACATTAGGCTCAGAGGACTGCCAACCAACTTAATCCACTAAATTAACTTTGCAAAGAGAGGGCCAGTAGTTCAATTAAAAAAGCTATTCATTTGGAAAAGGCCGCATTATCACATCCTTATAAATCCATTTGTTTCAAATCCAAAACTTACAAGAGATCATTATGAATACAAACGTTTGAGTGTGTTACTCAAACAACCTGAACAAGAATTGAAGGCAATGTAAAACACAGCTACAACTGTTCTTCATGAAGAGCTGCAATTAACCATTATTTTCATTATCAATAATCGTTTTCCGCTGGGTCTATAAAAGCTCACAAAATACGGTAAAATGTCCATCCAAGATTCCCAAAATCTTTTTCTGAACAAAACCCAAAGATATTCAGTTCAACATAGTAGGAGGAAAAGCAGAATATATAGCATCCCCTGCCATTTCTACAGGAAAAATCCAATATACTCAATAGTAAAGATCAATTTATCAATTATTCATCCAATCAATGTAGCTCTAAAATAAATATAGGTTATTTCTAAAATAAACACCATTTATGTAATCACAATTACATACAAAAAACATAGTTTGTCCCTGAGATAAATCTTCTTAAATTATATTAGTGATAATCTGTGGCAAGCGAACTTACATTAAATTGTACAAAATGCTACCAAAGCACTACTGAGCAGGATATTTTGCCATTGCAGCATAAATACAATTTACTTAAAGACATTTTGTTTTTGACTATATGTTTGTTTATGTCAAAGGTTGTTCCTCTTCAAATGTTGTTTCACTGTTGAGACTATTTTTGGCCAACAAGCTTGTCTGCTGCTCATTTCAGTATACCTTTAGGAAATGCAGACATTCGACAGTACTGATTCTGACGTTGATACCCTAGGATGTCTCGTTGATACGAGTAATGTATTGTCGGTGGCCCAATGCGTGCCTGTGTACATGGTTGTAGAAAGGGCTTGAGTTATATTTAGCTCTTGCGGTGGTGACGGGTTGGGGTCACAGGGGCTGAGGTTGTCTGGAGTTTGAGATGGAGAATTACAAACCAATGTAAGGTAGACTGAGGAAAGGAAGTTGATTGTCCTTGCAAGAACATTGGTCTAATGTTGAACAATCTCACAACAAGTCTGTAGACAAATCTCCACAAATCCCTGTTTTATTATGAATGTTTCAGGTTTCCAGGACAGCTGCTGTAGCGTGAATCACAGGTCGTCATTGGTTCATTGGTTGTTGTCAGGATCTGGATCGCTCATCCCTCTTTACAAATCTGTGTGACGTATCATAAGGAAGATGCATTTTATACTCCTGCACTATGTGAGGAGGGCGTGTGTCTTATCCCCCTGATACACACAGGGTAGATTAGAGGATTAGCATCCACTGGGCTAATGCTAACACAGCTACCGCAGCTACAGATGGCATTGTAACACACACACACTTACACACACATACACACTTACGAATGTGAAAGCGCATGCTGGCTCGCAGACTGCACGAACGTACTGAAAGTGGGTCATAGTCTGGGTATTTATCTGTTTGCTTTAATTACTCACTGGTTAAAAACATGTTGTTAATCAGGGAGATAATGCCTTGAATTGAATTAACAACAACATAAAAAACTTGATTAGTTTCCTGATAAGGATATCTGCAAAACAAGGGAGGAAGGAAAGAATAGACACTGGGATTAATTGATTTCTGTAAAGCAACACTTTTGCAGATCAATTAATTATTTAACTACATTTTAAGTTGAACAAAATAAAATTGCAACCTTTCCTGCTTCTAAAGTAGATGCTAATGTCTTGTAATTATAACATCTTAAATACCTAAATCTAAAAATATCTCTTATATTCCATAGATCAGAAAAGTCACTCAATTGATCAAAACAACATTGTTTCAGTCTGTTATCTCTCTTTACCTGATCCATATTATAGCATATTGTGGGCAGTGTCTAATAAAGTGTCTAGTGCAAACAGGAGAAAAGGCCGCATAATCCTCTTAGTTACTTTGGCCAGCTCACAGCGGGCTGTGTAACTTTCTTTAGCTCCTGGTGCCTTCAGAATACATACGGTGCTTATAGCCTTGTGTAATTCTGTATACCAAACAGTTAGTAGTATTTAAAGCAACAACCAGGAAGTACTTCATAACCTGACTATCGCGTAACACCTTTTGAAGTGCATCCCACAGAATCACTTTAGGTTCACATTTTTATAATATACATTTATGAAAGTGAGAGCTGCAATCTCACTTTGTCCTACCAATTCAACTTATTTCAAAACTATTTAAATCTAGTCTTGGGAAAACTGTTAGTTTCAGTGGTTCTAATCATGGGGTCTCAGAAGCCCCTTCTTAGGGTTAACCTGATGAACTCGCTGTGTAAAATAGTGTCTAACTGCACAGAAAATACATGTTGAAGAAGTTTCAGGTCTTTTGGACATATGCATTTATTTTACAAATAACATTTGTTTTTTTCTTGTTGTGACATAATGGATAGTATTACTTGTGTATGATTTGCACCTGGCATTTGTGATTTCTTGTATAAACAATCCCAGATTTGAATATCACTCGTCATCACATCACATGTGCAACCTGTTATGAGTGGTCGCATGTAGACATCGCTGCATTATAAGGGGTGACAAGCCAAAGAGCACAACTGGAACTTTACTGCTGGAAATATAGCCAATAATGTAGCCAATCATTTATTTTCCTGCACTTTTCTCTACCAGTAACTCCACCATGGCCACCTTATTCCCCTAACCGTCTTCCATTTTTGTAATGATTGAATGTCTTCAGAAACGTACATTTCTCCAGTAGGGTCACTGGGTTTAACTTGCTTTTCCAAATAAGATAACGTGTTCAAATCCACTGTCCAGGGAGCAGAGACTGACCAACATGTATGGATGTATTTCTTCATCATCTCTCCCACTGAATGCTTCAAAGTTATAGATTTAGGTTTTTAAGTTTGGCTAATATACTTCACAGTGTTTAGGTGAATGCAGGATAAAAAATGCCCTTTGTGTTTCTGTGTGTGGGGCTGACTTTACTTTAAATAAGGCCGTTAACATAAAAAGTAAAGATGGTTGTTGGGTTGCATAAGGCTTTGCTGCCACCTTCCAATAATCCAGAGCAGGTCAGCGTAGAGGATTGTGCAAGTCTATATTTACACATGGCAGTAAGAGGGTTGTAGGTGCGGCCTTCAACAGCGCTAACTCGGTTCGGTGTTCGGTGGTTTGCTCTTTAGCTTCAAAGTGTTCTCTATGTGTGTGTTTGTTCTGCTGGTAGTCAATATAAACCTTTGAATGTCTCTTGGCATCACCTTAAAAGAAAAGCCTACATTTTGCTAAAATTATTAATTGAATTAAATCTGTTGTTTTTTGTATTTAATGAAAAAACAAATCAGTACTAGCTCCCTTTGTGAATCATGTGCATCATGAAACCGTTTTTTGACCACAGTGAAAATCATTGTGAAAGCTAAGAAATCTAGATTAAAGGAGATTATTTAGTTAGATGAAAACACGTTGACGATTTGCGAAATCCCACTTTTCTCTTTCAATCCATTTTTAATTATGGACTTAACAATGCTCTCGAGTTTTGGGAAATGCTTGGACCCCAAAGTCGTGAACAATCGTACACAGCCACAGCCAGAATCTATTCGTTCTAATAGCAATAATACTTCAAATAGTACACATATTTATTTATCTAATCTTAGTCTGCAACTCTGCAGAAATACAGCTTTTTAACTGAATAATAGAAATGTAAGAAAGAAAAATAAATAATTCTTATTGTAAAAAACGATATGAAAAGTTTCAAATGATTTGGTACGGCCCTGGAAAGAAATCAGTTCCTCACTTCCTTACTTTTGTCTAAAGTATATTCAGGATGAGGAAGTGATTTATTTTGAGTTGGACGGTGGTCTTTTCATTTGCTTTAGGTCTAACTCAGGTTCATCCCCCCCCTTCCTTTCATTTGCATTAGCTTACTCTTATGTTGGCTCACTGAACTAAGCTGTCTAAGCTTAACTGCCCTCAGCAGCTAATGCTAACTAAGTAGCTGAGCAACAACAGGTGGCATGGACATGACTCAGATGTGTTCATATGCTGCATCTGCAGAGTTCAACCAGGTAAATGTCTTCGCCCGACATGACAGTCTGAGGGCTCCTGCTGGTTTATAAACAGGTCTGGGGAAAGAGAGACACCTCCCTGGCGGAGAGGAGGACGGTGCTGCTGTTGAGAGGATCATCCACGTGGTCACAAAAGATATCCAAAAACTCAACTTCTTATACTTGAGGCTTATTCAGAGACATTTTACTTTTAAAACACACACTTGGAACCTCACATGAAACAGAAGCAGTTGCTTTGCAGCCAAGTATTCAACTAAAGGAATAGCAAAACATCTAATTAAACACTCAATAGACATTATTTGATTAACTGTGTGTAGACTAAACAGTGTTCAAATATGAGTCAATTAAACTGCTTTTCTCTCTCATTTACCAGTGTAGTGTGTTCAAAGATACCACCATGGGGTCTTTGTTGATTAAATGATATCATCAGGACATTTTAATTCTTAATTGATAGTGTGTGTGTGTGTGTGTGTGTGTGTGTGTGTGTGTGTGTGTGTGTGTGTGTGTGTGTGTGTGTGTGTGTGTGTGTGTGTGTGTGTGTGTGTGTGTGTGTGTGTGTGTGTGTGTCAGCTTTAAATGCTAAACTGGCCTCCATCTGTTTACATTGCAAACAGCAGAGCAGAGTCATCTACTGTTCCGAGGCATGTTACTGTTTATGACGATATTACATTTCTAAAAGAATAGATAAGAGCAGACATTTTTATATCATGTGATTTGCCGATATCATGGGAGAAATCTCACTATAGCAAACACTGGAATATAGTATATTGCTTTGACTAGGGATGCAGCTTCAAACAGGTAGTCTTCAATGTTAATATGTTGAATTCAACATGTCTGTATCTCTGGTGAAATAAGTATTCAGATCTTTTATTTATGGACTTTTAGTTAGGGATGCTCCGATCGATCGGTCACCGATCGAGATCTGCCGATACTCACTCTCTACCGATCGATCGGTGCTCTCTAAACATGCCGATCGCGAGGGCCGATCGCATGACGTAAAATACATGACACTTTTCTCTGTGCGCGGCAAAACAAGCTCGCCAAAATGGCTCCACCGGTCTGGCATTATTTTAAGGTGTCCGAAAAAGACAGTAAAATAGCGGTATGCAACGTGTGTGTGAAGCAGAAATCCTGCAGCTCCACCCGCTGTGATGGGCGGTGTGAGCGGAGCGAAACACACAAGAGTTAGACCTAACACATTTAGCTATTTGATCTACCTCTGGAACAAGCTAAACTAGTTATAAATATGTTTATTCTTCACTGTCGGCCTCACATATTACTGGATCAGCGAGCTGCATGAGACGATACTGACGGGCTGTCAGGAGAGGGAGAGAGGGGGAGAGAGAGGGGGAGAGAGGGAGAGAGAGGGAGAGAGAGGAAAAGAGAGCGCTTCCGCTCATTTCTCCCGTGGTATTATCCAAAGTGAATGTAAACTTGAATAATATACATAATTTGAATGTAATAATTAAGTTGATTGTTGTTTGTGGAAGCTCCAGTGAATGAGCCCCATTAACTGAGTTTTAAACATCACTTTAAATGGAAGATTTAAAGTGATGTTTAAATCTTCCATTTAGGCCCCGCCCACTCGATCGGATCGGCGATCGGTATCGGCCGATACTGATTTCGGCGATCGGCCCCAAAATTGGCGATCGGAGCATCCCTACTTTTAGTAAAAACCCTAAATAAAACATGTTACATAGGTAAAAGTACAAAGCATCCAAATAAATCTAGAGAACCAAAAATGCAATTTCAGAAAAATAAAAACAGTTTCATTTGATAGGTTTCTAAATATTTACGCATTCATGTGTAAGCAGGTAATGTTGGAGCCAATGGTAGCCATTTTGTGTACTGCCTAGCTTTCTATAATAGTGCATAATAATATATACGTTGTCTATTATTAGTATTTGAGAAAAGTAAAATACAGAAAAAAAGTTCAATATTTTCTCTAAAATGTAGTTTAATAGAAGTATAAAGTTGCAGAAAATAAAAAGTATAATCATCGAAAGAATACTTCAGTAAATGAAGTACTTACATTCCTCCACTGGTTTGTGTACACATTGTATGCTTGATCTGTGGAGACTGTGGCTCAGTGGATAGTGTGCTGGACTTCGAATCAGGGGGTAGCAAGTTCGAGGCCCACTGCAGTCAGCATGTCGTCGTGTCCCTGGGCAAGACACTTCACCCCAAATTGCTCCTGTGGGGATTGTCCACAGTAAGTAAGTCGCTTTGGATAAAAGCGTCTAACAAATGACATGTAATCTGTAGATGAACACACATCCACTTGTAAATAATGTGTTTTTTAACTTTACATGTTGTAAAATATATACTGTGAATGAGTCTGTGTGCATACAAGTGTTATTGCCAGTACGTGTGCACAGAAATCAGTGTGTCCCCGAGTCACATTTAGGGTGAGTCACCATCCAGGTGAGCTTAGTGATGGCTGACCTATAAAAACACACAGACAGATGGACTGAAGTGCATTTCTCATCGGCAAACTACACAGTAATAACAGCCTCCGTAAAAACACACATCTGTCAGATATAAGAGTAGATAAATCCTTCCACAATACTGTCCTCGGGAAATTAAAATATGAATCCACGTAAGCTGTGTTGTCTGCTCATGAACAGATAAATGGATTTGTCACTCCAGCTTAGCTCGTCAAATGTAGTGCAGGAAGTGTGTTTGATTGTTCGTACTTTAAAATTGGCAGATGACTCATACCACGTTCTGTACAATCCGTATACACCCTGGTAAACTCTGCAAGTGATTATAATTACATTTCTGCAGATTGAAAGACTTGTGTGCTTACCTATCTGTTCTATTTTTTTTTCAGATCTGATTGTTAAAGTTATTCAACAAAACATGGGAGGAATCAAAATAGAAGAATGGAGAAAGGTATGTTTGGTTTAAAAGATTATTGAGATTAAATATTGTAGTCTTGATAATAAGCAGTAATGATACTTAACTGGTTAATACATTTGTTAATTTAACACCTGTAAGAGATTTTGTTTTTTGCATTTATTTGTAATCATTTCAATGGCCTTAGAGTGGCCTTTTTAATAGAACATGAAATAATCTATAAAGTCTCTATAATATGTTCAACACATAACGGGTAATATAATAGCCTTGTTACTGCGATTCCAACAAGCTTTTTGGGATTCCCTCACTTTGATTTGACGCTTGTTATTATTAAAAACAGTACTTTACAAAACAAAAAGGCAGTTAACCATCATATAATTCACAAAATAAAAAAATAATGTGCAAATTGAGAATAAGTAAGTAGACACTGTGGTTAGAAAAAAAGTTAACAATATGAAATACAAATAATAAGATATAAAATAAAAGCAAGAGAACATTTTTGTAAAGATTAGGTTTTAAGAATGATGTTTCTTCTGCCTCCTAATCTTTTGGCCGTCAAACTGACCTTGATTTGTTTGTCTTTCTTTCCCTTTTTGCCGTGTGTGTGTGTGTGTGTGTGTGTGTGTGTGTGTGTGTGTGTGTGTGTGTGTGTGTGTGTGTGTGTGTGTGTGTGTGTGTGTGTGTGTGTGTGTGTGTGTGTGTGTGTGTGTGTGTGTGTGTGTGTGTGTGTGTGTGAGTGTCACAGCCAGACAATGTGGTGCTGTTACTACAGGTAAACTCCTCATAACATTATGTTTTCACATTATACTCCACATTGTCTCAGAAATGATGTGAGGTGTAATAATGATTGTTTATATCCTCTCCTGCAGACGATCTACTACGAGGCGGGTTTCCTCATATGTGCGACTATCGGCATCCTGTTCGTGGTCCTGGTCCCCATCATCGCCATGTGTTTCTGTGTGTGTCGCTGCTGTGACAACTGTGGAGGGGAGATGCACCAGAGACAAAGAAAAAACGTAGACTGTCAGAGAGGTTTCTACACCGCCTTGCTCGTCGCCACCTCCATCTTCATGACGTGAGTCTTTATCATCTTATTTATCATCATGAGGATTTTTTAAAAGGTATTATTAGGTCTCATGTATGTTCTCACTGTGTGCATCATGGAAGTGTGAGACTGTAGAAATCTTCTGCAAATGTTTTGGACATACTGTGCTGCATACTGGATATACCATAAGATGTATAGAGAAAGGAATGCATGTCAAAGCAAAGTAAAAAAAAAAAATCAAGTGTCTTTTTAATTCTCATGAAACCCTGGAGGCTGACATTACCTTTAATGCACCTTGACTACTAATAGTCCAAAAGGAGTTTCAGTGTTGTTGTGCTAGTGGTGGCTAATGTTGTCTCCAGCTACTAGCTTCAATCAGAGATGAGGAGCAGCTACAGAGGTCTGGAAACCTCACTGCTTTCTAACTCTATATGCTGTATATTGTTTTCTCATTCAAAACTTGTCGTCACCTGAAGCCTCTTTTTCAGATTTTGCAGAGCTCCCCCTGAATCCACGATAGGCTTTATAAAACCTTTTGGTAACATATCCTGTCATAATCCACCAGACCTCTAAACAAGCTTAGATGTGTACATCTGTGGAGTTCTCCTTTAAAAACATCTGCTCACATACAGACAGGAGATTACCTGCAGATCACCCGCTGTGTAGGAGACAGGTGCACGGTCGGAGAAATAGGATCCAAACTGCAGGACAGTTAGGTGTTACTGATATCACCTGGCTGACTGTAAAGGGGCCTCTCTGTCTGAATGAGTGCTTTCACATCACAAACATACACACGCACACACACACACACACACACACACACACACACACACACACACACACACACACACACACGCACACACACACAATGTAAGTACATAAAGTACTTCAATTGGTGATATTCATATATATGGGTTAATTATTTTATATCTCACACAATCTTTCCTTTTGTTGACACTCAATCAAGTCTTTTCTTCAGGTTAAGCAAAGTGAATAAATCAGTTATATGGCTGTACCATTGAATAACTTTAACAGGTGTAAGATATCTTCAAAGTTCAGGAATAGCAATCACAAACGTAATTATTAAAGTTTGCATATCATCAGCTCAACACCTTAATAGACTTCAACATCATCCTTGTTTTCACCAGTGCATTATGAGAGCATTATCTATCCTGCATTTGTATTTGATTACAGTACGTTTTTTACAGTATATAACAACATCAAATGTACGTAATTTCTGAGATATAAATTTGAGGTAAAGTTAAAACGTTAAAGTCTTTATCCATAATCATTTGTTTTCCAAGTTAAATCTCTACCAATCCTCAGGTAATAGATGCAAAATAGATTAATTTAGAAGGTAAGTGAGATATGAGGTTTCCAAAAGAGACTCATATATTAAGTACATTTATTGACTGTTCATCATGTAGATCTTTGCAAAATCTCTCTCAACTCCACATCAGGAGAAAGTTCTTGCACATCATAAAGTGTATTTGACATGTGTGTGGGAACCCACACTCTTGACTGTGAAGAGCCCAAAGAGGTATATACATAGAGAGTATATACAAGAGAGTTATGTAGCTGAGAAATGTGATTTTTCAGGCCTGTCACATGTCTCTGTGAACTTTCAGTGAGTGATCAGAATTACATCTTGATGTAGCCATGCTGCCCTCTGCTGGTGAACACTGCTCACTGTCTATACTTTAGTCAAATTGTACCTACTGTATGTGATCATATATAAAAAATTGATAAAATAATGTGTGTGTTTTAGTCTGGGAGTGTTCATCGCCTATGCTGCGAACCATAATGTCAGCGCCCAGATTAAGAACACTCGGAGGTTAATCAACAACAACATGAGGGACCTTAAGACATTTGCTAACAACACACCTACGGTATGTCCTCCCACCCCCCACACACACACACTCACACCTTTCTATGTAAAAGCCTTATATATAATAAAATGAAAATGTATGTTTAAATGAGTGATGCCTGTTTTCTGTTGCAGCAAATTGAATACCTGACAGCCCAGTACACCACGGCAAAGAACAAAGTCCTGTCAGACCTTGACAGTAAGTTGAACTCAGACTGTTTACTTACATTATTTGTTTAACCTTTGTGCCTCCCTTTAAAGACGTGTATCTGATGTCCTTAGAAGGTACAAATACCCTCCTTCACAAAACCTCTAGAAAATAATATATACAATATGTTCCTCTTTCACTGACTGAAATGTTTTAAACTTTTGTCTTGGAGACTAAGAACTACCAAATATGATACTAATAAAAAACTTGTAATAAAATATATTTTCACACGCTAGCCAATACTTCTGCCAAATAGATTAACACAGCCAACATGATTGATAAAGCAAAGCCAAAAAACTCCTTAGTGATACAGAGTAATGTATCTCACTTGGTTGTCTGTGGCTCGCTGTGTTTAGTCATATTTAGCTGTAGTTTTCTCATATAATCTGATCTCTCTGTGTTTCCTGACAGACATTGGACCTTTGCTTGGTGGGAGGATCCACAGTCAGCTGGAGAGAGAGGTGGTGCCCTCACTGGACAATGCGCTGCGGATGGCAGGAGGTAACACACACGCTTTTAATACGACCTCCTGTACAGTTTACACAGCTTCATAATGCAGGGCTGATAACACAATGTCACCCCGTTGTCACCATATCTGATTGGTGACATTCAATTTGAAATTCAAAGAAAAACCTCTCCACCCATGAATTATGTTGCTACAATGTAAATTGCTGCTCATGTTTTGCATAAACTCAGACTTCTAATCATGTCAAGATAAACTGTGTTGTTTAATTAAAATACCCCCAAAAACACGGTATAAACTGAAATTGTAAATCAACCCTTATTTTGGTGAAGTGAAAATGTAATTGTCACACTAATGCAACAAATGTCACATATATATTTGTGAATTGTAGCCGCACTTATCTTGTCATGCTACATAATACGTTTTTGCATGCAGTTTCCTCTATTATGGTTTTAATACTGCCGTGGTGTCTTTAAAGGCATATCCTCAACATCTTTTAACCTTCCTTTTTCCTCTCCAATTTCTGCACATTTTTCTTTTATCTAAAGCTAAAGTTGAGAATGCCATCAAAGGTAACCAGAGCTGATCTGAACCCCTGTTGTGTTTTGTATTGTGGTTTCCCTTTGTGGGTTGTTGGTCTGTCGTCAGTGTAATCAGCGTTGTTGTCATCCTGTTTGTAATTCTGTGGTAGTTTTGTGAATTGTGAATGTACAGTCTATTAATGTAAATAATTTGAAGATCACATGTTGGACAATACAAAACAGCACACTGTTGTGGATTATTTTAGTAAATGTGTCGATTTTTTATCAGCCTATTTTAAAATGTCATCCTCCCTCTCCGTCCTGCAGCCATGCGGGAGACCAAAGAGGCTCTGGAGAACGTCAGCTCCTCTCTGGAGGTTCTTCAGGAGGGGACAGCCAAGCTTCAGGCCAGTCTATCTGAGGAGCGGGCCTCTCTTTCCAACACTTTATCAGACCCTGCCTGCACTAATGGAGCTGTGTCGTCCACCTGTAACACCATCCGCTCCACGCTCGCCCAGCTGGGAATCAACTCTGACTACTCTAAGGTACCAGGAACTGAAGATTGCCTCACAATCAACACAACTGAAAATGGAAACAAGCATCTTAAACGGCCATTTTTACTAATCTATATTTGTATCTTTCCCTCCATAAGCTGCCAGATGTTAATCACGCCCTGGTCAATGTCAATACTGTCCTGAGAACAGACCTCAGCAACATTGTACAAAAGGTTAGTCTCTGTCTCCTGCTCTTCATCATCATCATCATCATCCTCCTGTTTATGTTGTCACTATCTTTTTCACCTATCGTATTCTTAAAGAAGCCTTCCTATTTAAAACAATTATATATTTTCTCTTTTCTCACTCTTCACCTCCAGGGTTACTCATCCTTTAATGATACACCACAACTGGTTAAAGAACAAACTAAAAACATTGTCTCAGGTACTTAACTGTCTGTGTGTGTGTGTGTGTGTCTGTCTGTCTGTCTGTCTGTCTGTCTGTCTGTCTGTCTGTCTGTCTGTCTGTCTGTCTGTCTGTCTGTCTGTCTGTCTGTCTGTCTGTCTGTCTGTCTGTCTGTCTGTGTGTGTGTGTGTGTGTGTGTGTGTGTGTGTGTGTGCACGCCTATTTAGTTTGCCTAACACATATAGCTGTTTTCCCTTCTTCTTTGCAAATGATAAGAGATTAAGTCTAACTGTAGTCTTTCACTTTCATATTTTCTTTTTCTTTCACCTTCACCTGTGAATGATGAAACCACAGCTCTACCTCGTAAGTCCTTATGTTTTCTCTTAGACCCCCCCCCTTTCCTTAAAGTTTTCACCTCTAATTTGAGTGGCCTTCTGATTGATGTAGAATAAAAATCCATTACTTACTTCGGTTTATATTTTCATTTGTAGGAGTGAAAGGCATGTTGGATAAGATTGGCACAGAGATCAACGGCTTCACCAAGATGTTCCCAGTGGAAGCTTCTCTCGCCAATTTCACCATTTTCCTCACCCAAGGACAGAAAAATATTGAGTCCTTTTACCCACAGATTGACCAAATTGACTTTTACAGGTGTGTGTGTTCGTCTGAGTACATGTATTATTACTATAGGTTGTAGGAACAGAAATCTGTCAGACTATGGGGACAAACTTTCCATCTGGAGAACAAGAATATGGCCTCTACAAGGGAATATATTACGTTAAATATTTGATCTTTAGGGTTAGTAAAAGGCTTGAATCAGCTATTTTCCATATTTTTGTAACAACAAATACAATGTGAAATGCTTGTCATTGTGAACATACATGAGAATTATCACCAAATGTGGAGCTCTGCTTTTTGGAGCTTTATAGTGAGTTTCAGCTCATTGTTCAGCGGTCTCACCGGTCTTTCTACTATAGCAGGCAACGAAAAAGAGTTTAAAAAATCACTGTACACTACCTGCTTAGAAACAATTTAATGAACAAAGAGGAGTATTTAGCAGCTGAACAGACAGATATTTCCCTCAAAACTAAATCAGAGCTGACAGACAGTGAATATTGGACTTAACATTCACCAGGTTCTCTGTGTTTCTGTGAATACTCAATTGGCTGCTGAAAAGTTATTTATATCAATGTAAAAGGGGATATTATGTCAAGGTAGTGTTCACAATTGTGTGTGTGTGTGTGTGTGTGTGTGTGTGTGTGTGTGTGTGTGTGTGTGTGTGTGTGTGTGTGTGTGTGTGTGTGTGTGTGTGTGTGTGGCAGGTGGGTCGGCTGTGTGGCAGTGCTCTGCACGGTGGTCTTGGTCCTGGCCTTTAACACCCTCGGACTGCTGTGTGGCGCCTGCGGCTACGACGAGCAAGCTACACCAACAACACGAGGCTGCCTGTCAAACACCGGCGGCAACCTGCTAATGGCGTATGTTTCCAAAAGTGTACAACCCTCAAACTGAGAGGAGTGATAAGAGGGCTTATTTTTGAGTTCATCAGTCTGAGGGATTGTTACGTTCCCTACTGGGCTAGGGGAACCAAAGGGAAGTAACAACATATAAAATGACCTGGCGAGAGAAAAAGGAGAAGAAACTGATCTCTGAAGCCACAAGATGGTCTTTTAATGGACAAAAGAAAAAGGGCTCACCAGCCAACTTGCAAAGCAAACTAAGACAAACTAGAACACACATATACACTGGAGCACATCTCCTAATAATTAACAAAACACAGGTCTCACACAGAGACAGAGACACCATGCTGCACACATGCTGCCAGAGGAGAAGGAGAGAGCGACTGCAGCCTTCCTCAGGTCCTTTATGGAGGCCCTGATTGGGGATTGGGAGTACCTGAGGGAGAGGCTGCACCTGGAGACAGTCAGGGGGAAAGAAAGAGAGACACACAAACACCCACACACACAAGCACCCACTACGGCACGTAACAAGGATAAAGAAATATAAGAAATCAAGCAAACATGTTCAGAATAAGATTGAGAATCAGAATTCCTTTATTTGTCCCGCAACGGTGAAATTAACATTATTACATCAGCAGAAGTATAGTGCAGATAAAGTAAGAGAATAGACTTAACATATTCAAAAATAACTAAGTAGTTCACACGTTATTAACAATAAAAAACACAATAAGTAAAAAAAGAAAAACAGATAAGTAGACCACAAAACGAAGTAGCAGTGTATATATATATATATATATATATTATTTAAAGTGACCATATCAAATCATAGAAGTAGCAATTGTAAAAGTTGATGGATGCAGGAAACAGAGAGTACAAGATAACTGATGTGTTTGTGTCTGTTGATCTTTCAGTGGAGTTGGCTTCTCTTTTATCTCCGTCTGGGTGCTGATGGCCATTGTCTCAACCTTGTTTGTTATTGGAGGCAACGTGGAGAAGATGGTGTGTGAACCCCTCGCTAACCGACAGCTATTCAAGGTGCAGAAAACAAGCTCACTTCTTTTCCTGAATCATCTCTCCTCTGCCTCTCGGAGCGAAATCATGTTACATAACGGACAACACTGTGGCTCTGTGCTGATAAAAATGCATGTGTGTATGTGTGTGTGTAGATCATAGACACTCCATTCCTGGTTCATCCCTCCAAGAAGAACTTCCTTCCTGGGATGCTGTTTCAGAATCCTAACATTGACTTGACTTTGGGAAGCATGTACAGGTAATTGACCAACAACTAACACTGTTCATACTTGACATAAAGATCACTGTTTACTACCAGTAGCACAAATGCTCATACATTTACACTAAAGGAGTTTCAGCGTGTGACTGTACTGTGTTTGTCTCGTAGGGACTGCTATGAGAACAACGGTCTGTACCATTCTCTGCAGCTGGAGACGATGTTCAACATCAACTCCTTCCTCAACAGAACTGTGGTAAGTCTCACTGCACTCTGTAGGAAATGCTGATAAAAAACCTGTGTTACCGATGCATTGGGTAAGCAAGATGAAAGGTTACTTATCAGTTTAAGTGTTTTTAACAACAGTACAACAAGGATCTGGCCAAAGTGTTGGAGGGAGTGCAGGTGGACCTGCAGGACGTAACGCTGCTGGAGCAGGCCGGCAGAGACAACCTCATCAACTTTGCCAACTCTGGAATCGGACATATCAACTATGAAGCCTACCTGACTGAAGTATACATTTATAGAATATGAATTTAATATAAATAATATTTCAAAAAAAGATCTAAAGCTTCTCTCTATTCCTCTACTGATCCTATTCACTTGTAATATGCTTATTAAAAAGAGTACTCATTTAGGCTGAGAAGTCTATTTCATTGGAAAAATACAAACTCCAATCAAAACCTAGCAGGAATAAAATTTTATTTATTTTATTTAGCCTTTATTTATACAGGTGTAAAATCTCATTGAGACACAAATTCAAATTATATTGAAATTGAAAACTTAACGTTACACAAATTGAGGGAGTCTAAAACTATGATCCCTGCTTCATGAGTGTATGTTTTGGTTTTGTTGTTCTAGTTAAATAAAGGAGTAACTATCTTGGATCTCCTGTCCTTCTCTACTGACCTGGAGGCTCAGGCAGACCAACTGGTGAGTCTCATCATTATCGTACCAGCAGATTAAAGCAACAACATGAAGCTGCTTTCATCAATCAAATGCCAAAATGATAAAGAAATGTGATAAAAGTTATGTTTCACACACATAGGTAATACACTTTGCTTTGAATTATTATGTGAGTTATTCTTACTGAACTGCTGTTAAACAAACACAGGGTTAGTTATATGTAAATGGATTTTACTTTACTTTACTCTACTTCAACTAGTGCTAGCTACTTTCATTGTAAAAGAGTTTGCAACACTGAACTGAACACAGTGCTTTTGTTTTCCATTGCTTTGCTCTGTGAATAGAGCTTTCATTTACCCACCAGACTGAACCAGGTAGCAGACAGAATTGCAGAATGAAAGCGATCTGATAGAGGACCAACCTAAACGCTGTTGGTGTCATTAATGCACAGCCCTTGCATTGTGCAATCAACATTTACTTTATAATGATACGTTAAAACAAAACAAGTTTCTATTGCCTCTTAAGCATTAACATATTGTAGACTGTAGAAATGATATAGACATATTTTTAAACCACAAGTGCAAACATACATTTGGACAGACTGTGCAGAAAATAATTTTGTTACATGCTCAGTTGGTTCGAACAAGGTGCCCATTCACCCTGAAAACACACTCACACATTCATGGCACATGCAGAGCACATAGTACAGGAACTGTGCCATTTAAAGATACATGGGACATGCCACAGAAGGATTAGTGTGTGCCTGCATTTCTGAGGCAGGAAGGAAGGAAGGAAGGAAGGAAGCAAGGAAAAATAAATCATTGAGTTTATATTAATTACCTGCAGTAATTAAAGATTGAGCTGCATCAAACTTCTGTATCCTCTGCTTATTGTTTGTGTGTACAGCCCCGAGGTGCTCTGGAGAACGCACTGAAAGGACACGCCAGCAGTATCAGACAGATCCACAGGGATCAAGTGGTTCCAATGGAGCAAGCAATGGTAATCAACTCTCTCATTAAAAAAATAAACCGACACTCAATACATGTGCACAACCAAATCAGAATCAGAATCAGAAAGGGACATTTGCGTAGTTACAGCAGGAAAAAGAGCCACAGACAGCTTAATGTTACATATGTTAAATATGTGACATGCATTAAAAAAAAGGTACTAAGTTATGATATAATAAAAAATATAATAAAAATGTAAAGTTACATCATTTAAAAAATTACACATCCTGTAACAGTTCTTAGGATTTAGCAGCCAGGTATATATTACACAGTTATTAACGGCATCTATATATATTGCACTTCTAGCACATATTGCACATAGGTGGTTGGTATTTAACAGCAGCAAGTTACACAATTTACAAAATACACACCTTGTAACAGTTCTAAGGATTTAGCAGCCAGGTATATATTACACAGTTATTAACGGCAATACACACAGATTACCCCCGTTTGACCAAATAATACCTTAAGCCTGAAGATCACAATATTTTAGAACTTAAGGCCCATTTATTTGGCAACCTTTCTAAAAATATATAAAAACTGGGCTGTTAATTGTGTTATGCCACGGTCAGCTTTAATTACACAAATAAATATTGTGCTTACCCTCAGTGAAACACTGTGGAGTTTGGTATTGACTGACTGTTAGTTGCAGCTGCAAAGCTCCTTCGACATCGTTAAGGGTTTATTGCTTCAAGCTAATCCATCAGCAAACATATATCTAGCTTTGAAAAGGAGATACAGACATTTGACCAATATCCTGTTAGTTACTAGCCCTGACAGAGACCTACAGGTTGAAACATGTTAACTTTTTAAAAGATTTGGCCACTGCAATTGTAATATTTAATTCCTTGTTCTTACATTTTGGAGTGCCTGGATTGCCTTCCTATTTAAAAATAAGTAAAATAAAAAATATACATCAATTGTGATTTATTTTCTCATGAATATTGTAATGCTTACTGTAACAGCTAATATACAAAAAAAAAATATTGTATGCTACACAGAAAGAAATCTAAATATAATATCATATAACTCATTATTACAAATAAACAAACATAATGTAATTATACATTTTTAGCGATGTATTACGAAACATGTTCCTCTGTTAGCTGGTCCCCTTTAACTTTACTTATTTTCTTTCTTCTTCCTATTTGTTTGTTAAACGGTGACAGAAATATGTGAAAGCGCGGGTAAGCCCTGTGTTCATAAATGTGTGCGTGTTTATCGTAGCAGTGTTGTAAATGTTGTGACAGCAGTGATGTGACGTAATGGATATTTCTAGTTGTGAAAAATGTAGTTATGGCATTATTGTTTGTTGGGTAACAGTTTGTGTTTGTGTCTCGTCTCACAGAGTACACTGAGTCAGAGCATCAAGCAGCTGCAGAGGATGTCCAACGACCTGACGGTGAGGGAACAAACAAAACACTTTTTACTTTCGTATTGACTTGCCGTCTAATTGATCAAAATCAACATCAGTTCAAACAGCAAATCGATAAGACATTGAAGGATTTACCTTAAATAAAACGTGGTGCACTCGTCTTATTTTTCTTCTATATTGTAAACTGATCATAAAAAGTAAACTATTTTCAATTTCTTGCTTTATTTATGTCTTATATAACAAATGAATTTCTCTCACTTTTAGGTTAAGGCCACGAATATCCTGAGTGCCATCGATGCAGCAGAGTACCTCATCACTCATAACGCCTCCCATGTGGTGAAAAGGGTAAAATAAAATATGTAGCAATGTTAATGTAGATACACGACCCTCCTTTTTAGACACTTGTTGCTTCAGACTCGTGAATCAGATGATATAAGATGGCGTCACACGTTTTCTGAGATGTTTTCCTTTTCTGCCTGTCTAGGAAACCAAAGGCTACACAGAGAACTTGGTGGGATACTTCAGACAGTACACAGCATGGGTTAAACATTCGGTGAGTATACTGCCAGTTTTCTCTGATGTATACATTATTAATGACCCCTTTTATCTCTCCGAAAAAATCTGAGTGGAAACGGCAAACGTTTTTTAAACTTGGATCCTTTGGGAAAGTTGGTGTTTTGATAAAAAAAAAAATAATTACAATAAGTGCACTGGGGGAATTAATAATGAAGCACTTTACTGTAGCATCCACTGAGAGGGAAAATAGCAGCATACAAAAACATGACAGCAGATGAAAACATTACATCTGTGTGGAGCAATGAGGAGATTATAACCTTCTTCAAATCAATATATGTAACAAATAAAAATATCATAATTACTTCATATTTTCTAAATATAACCCGACCATTTAGGATTTAATTTGCACCTTTGAAAAGGTCATCTCGTTGAGCCTTCTTCTTCTGCACTGGTTTAATGGCACGTAACTGGAGACTTAGCACCCCCTGCTGCTTATCTTGATGAACCAACTCCGGAAATGTGCATTACAGTAATATATGGAAACGTGCAGAAATGTGCTTACACTTTGCTATGTTTGGATGGAAACCTGCCAGCAGAAGAAAATCATATTATTATAGGATGCAAAAAAGTGAAGAGCTGCACTGATCTGAGTGAACATGATGTTCAGGTTTCAGTACACAGTTCAGAAGGCCAGTTTGATTGAAATTTGGTTTGAAAGAAACTGAAATGATCTTTTTTGTCAAACCAAAAGTCTGTAATAGGCAGGTTTAGGATACTTCATCTTTCTTCTGCTAAACTATACTCATGCAGTTTACATTTGACTTCATTCATACATGCACTGTAATCTATACCTTTGTGTGTTTTTCTCCTACAGTTGAGTTCAGAGGTGGCCCAGTGTAAACCCATCAGTAACATTGTGGACAGCATAGAGATTGTAGGCTGCAGCATCATAGTGGATTCAGTGGTAAGGCACCAGAACACTGTGGCTGTGTGTGTGTGTGTGTGTGTGTGTGTGTGTGTGTGTGTGTGTGTGTGTGTGTGTGTGTGTGTGTGTGTGTGTGTGTGTGGTGTGTGTGTGTGTGTGTGTGTGTGTGTGTGTGTGTGTGTGTGTGTGTGTGTGTGTGTGTGTGTGTGTGTGTGCGTGCGTGCGTGTCACACGGATTCATGCCACAGCTGTATGTACACTACATGTTCCCCCGAATGTATTTGGATTTCAACTAGAAGTATAAACGGCTCTTTGACGGTTTGAGCGAGCACTGGGTTTTTTGGGAGTGATGAAGTCTGTGGAGTCATTCGGCCACACATAAGAGAACAGTATGTTCTCAAGTCTTCAACACACTCCCTCTCACACACTGAGATGAGATAGAGTCCGTAGGCCTTACATACACATACTGTAGATTCTTCACTGTTTTCACTCTGTCCCTGAGGAGAGGCAAAGTATTTACATATTAGCTATGTGTGTGTGTGAGGGTTTAATGAGAGCTCCAACAATCCACAGACTGTGGTCAATCCAAACAGAGATTTATAAAGCAGTGCCTGCAGCCCCGGTACTGTATGTGCTGCATGTGTGTGCATGCAAACAAGTTTTTATTCATATGTTCTGTACTATTTGTGCCTTGTAATGTGCACATCTTGACCATCAATGTGTATGTGCTGCATGTTAAATCTGTTGGGTTGCAACCAACGCTTCTTTCATTATCAATCTCCACATTTCAAATGTGAAAATGCCAAATAAGTCCAAGGAGACTTCATGTCACTTATTCTTTAGTGAAAATAATATTTTTAGTGATATTGTTTTTGTGGTTTTTCAGAACACATTCTGGTTTGGTCTGGGAGGCTGCTGTGTCCTCCTGATCCCCAGCATCATCGTTTCTGTCAAACTGGCAAAGTATTACAGAAGGATGGACACAGAAGATGTCTTTGAAGAGTGAGTAAACACACACACACGCATGGTTTACATACTGTATATCCACTGACAGAAGTTTCTTTTGTTTTTATTGGTAGTTTTTCTGAATCTTTTTCTGTAGATCAAAACCAAATTAATGAATCTTCTTGTTTCCTTCTCTCTGTCATTATTCCTTCTCATGGTCTTTGATTATCCTCATATTTTCTCCTGGTATTTTTTCCACTCTCTCCAGAACCACTTACCCGTGGCTTGTTGCACTTTAATGTTTGTCTGCCATCCGTGCATCCTCTCCTCCTCTTCCACGTGTTTACATACCATGTTTGGAATTGGACACTTGACTGTGGATCTCCTGAGATCATTCCTAAACGTTTTTTGATAGGAAATCACGCATGAACTTCGTCTCTTTGCATGGATCTTCATTTCATCATCTCCTCCTGCATCTGCCTCCTCTTTTCCACTTTATTTCCGGGGATCACTCCATCCTTGTTGCTTTGACTGGAGTCTTCCCATTTTCTTTCTCACCTGTCCACCCTCTCTCTTGTGTTGCAGTATGGGTAATACAGGTAATCATGGGGAACAAGTGTGTGGTATCCATGGAGACCTTGCTGTGGTCAGGTATGAGCAGCGTCTCTGCTTGTTTGCATGCCGTGGGGTTAATTGGTGGAGGAATACTTTGACAGTCTGCAGACATTTGTTACATATCTTCACAGATTTTAAGTTAAAAACCATTCCCCATAAGTATGTATGTTATGTGTGTGTGTGTGTGTGTACAGTATCTCTCCCTATCCCAACACTCTGACCCGGTTCCCTCGGGCCTCGGCTCCTCCGAGCTACGCCGACTGGGAAGGATCTCCTTGATGAGGTACTGACTGTCCGTCGTCACTTTGCACTAACCTCCATCTCCATCTAACCTCCATCTATATATATATATCTAATATCAACTTCTTCTTCATTCTTTTTGCCTCTGCTATGATGTCCGTACTGAGGATACCGAGCTAGCTTTGTCCTTCTCAAAGGCACATAGTGTAAGAACAGAAGTTCAGGGTGTGAGGTCGGACACGAAGAGGATGCATTCTTCCTATAACATGATGAAGCTGTTCTTTTTGAGTAAAGGGATTGCATAATGTTGCTTTAAAAAGTAAACTAAACTAAACTAAAAGTAAACTAAAACCACCTGAGGTCCACCTGCCATTTAATCATCATCAGTCTGACTTCACCCAGGAGATTCTTCTTCCTCTTCTTCTGGTCTCATTCATCCTTCCATCCATCACTGTTGTCTACCAACGATTTTCCATGACTCTCAACAAGGAATAGCACATTCAGTTCACGAGTCAGTTATCCTTCATCATTCCCACTTGATGCAATATCCAACTATCTTCATATTTTGTAAGATTTTGGTAAATGTTTCGCTAAATAGCACTAAAAGGAAGCTTTTTTGATGATAGCCTCTTGTGCCTTTGGAGTAGAACACTTAAATACAACTTTGGGAACTTGAATGGTTTGTTTTGGAGGGGAATTACACATTTTCATCATACATGATATGGAGTTATCTATGTAACCAAAAAAGACTTCATTCATCCAACATTAAACAGAAATGTGACATATATTTGTTGACATCTGGAATTTGTGTTTGTTTCCCCTACCCTTCAACAATGATGAAGAAAGGCAGTAACTGTTTTTAAATCTGTTTTAAAACTACTCTATTATTTTGTTTTTCATTTATTCATACTTTTACTTATAAAAGCAATAGAGCATCGACAAAAGTAAAGCAGCTGATTACATTTTTTTTTTTTTCACAGCGGACAAGAGGGCTGGAACTGAAATTCCCCTCGAGGTAAGTCATCTCATCCGTCGACACCTCTCTTTAGGGATAATAAACAGAAAACACTCTTTGAAAACTCTGGTTATTTCTGACATGTCCTCTCTCTCTCTTCAAGGATTTCTGGACATTCCAGTTCTCTCCATTCAGATCTTATAACACGTCGGAAGATCAAAAAGAAGAACAACAATTAGGAACTGTGTGGTGAGGCGTCCCACCCCCCAGTGCCCCTTCAAGCCATTGGACAAGGACCTCAGATGCCAACCAACTGTAATTTATAAAGTGTTATTTCATTCACATCAGCACCGGAGCCGTCCTTCTAGTGTTTCATACTATAGATCATCAACGATCACAGAAATGTTCCTGCATAGTTAGTTTTTCCTGTAGATAATTCATTTGTTTGTACCTACATTCTCACCTTTACCATGGTGACACAAGTGTACATTTTTTTACACTTTCAAAACCTTTGAAAGTTTTATATACTTTTGTTAATGTTTGTTTTATAACACATAAGTAGCTTTTTCTAGGGGTAGCTTTTTCTTTTCTTGGTCAATATTTGTAATGTAGCTTGCATTGTTTTGACTGGACAAGTTGAAACGACCAAATAATCATTGATTCGCTTTCTTGTTGAGAGTTAGATAAAAAAGATGGCACTCTCGTGTCTTTTAGTTAAATACCAGGATCCAGTAGGAATAGCAATCAATATCACCATCAATGAAACCACTAGCATGATGGAAGAACACATTCATTTTCATGGTGACTATGTTCTGGACTCGGGGTAGGACTGATCCGTATCCCTGGCAGAGAACGCTGAGGTAGACAAATATGAGATATGAAGGGGGTCATCGGAGTTTGCCCATCCGTTCTACATTGGTTTTTACAGACTTTTCTGGAGAAGGCTCGCGAGCGTGTCCCTCAACTAGTGTTGGTTGTGTGTTCAGCTGGAATAGAAAGCTGTGTCCATATGTTCGACACAAAGTCAAAGCCGTTTCCAGTCCAGCCCTGCGATTTAGATCCTCCCCAAACTTGCTGTAATGAGTGAGCTTCAGAGGATGTGGTGTGTGGAGTTTGCTCCACTGGTCAGAGCAAGGCTATCAGTCATTTTGCTAAGCTAAGCTAACTTTGTCAATGGTGTAGCTTCAGGGCTAGTATACAGACAGGATACTGATATTGATCTTCTCAACTAACCTTCAGCAAGAAAGCGAAAAAAACTGGAAGTTCTTGTTAATTATTTAAAACCTTGAGACATGGAGACATCAGTCCAGAATTAATTATGGTCCACCAGGATGTAAAGAGTTTCTAGCTTTTCAACAGACACATGAGTTACAAACCCAGCAAGGTTTCAAGACCGCTAACAAACAAAATATTGTGTCTCCATTTTTTACCAGACCATTAGAGACCACTAGTTGCTTGTGTTTTTTTTTTTTTTTTCACCATTCTGGGGTTGGGATAATACAAATCCCAGAAGCCTCTTTGGTAAAAGAGGCCTGTTTGAGGAACAAAGCGTACACACAAATATTATATTACAGCTGGAGTCTGTGGTGAAGGCGCGAAACTGTGAATAAAAACGTCAGTCTTACAACTGTGTGCTGTGTTTTTCTTGCTGCATATACTAATGAAACGTATGTACTATCCACTGTTATATCAACCACTGAGGAAACTTTGATGGTTTTTGTTCTTTCAAAGATCATTAATCACCCAAACTATCTTTTAAGTGTGCTTTCATGCTATACATAAACTCTGAGCAACAGCTAGGAATGAAAAAGAACACTTGACGATGTGCACACAGCAAATATGCAGATGTGTTAGACCTACACGCCCCCACAAATAATCCAACTTAGCGCTTCTGCCAAAACATACAGAACACCAGGGAACGCAGAGAACATTCATGTAACATATGCAGAGCTGAATACGAGCACACAGCAGCTGACAGGCTTCAGGTCGACAGGTTTGCAGGGAGCGGTGGGGGGGTTTGGCGGAGTTTGAGGTGGTGTGACGCCGTTGCATCCTATCAGAAGAGGACTAGACTAATTTAATTTAGGGAAACATCTGGTTTAGACAACATAGCGACACACACGCACTTCATATGTTTACTTTCCGGGTGTCTCTTACAGGGGAACTTTTTCTCTTCCCCAACAGATTGATGGTTATAAAAACAAAACATCCTGAATGTACTGAGGGCGTGTGTGCATTTGTTAACACATGTGACTTTGTGCACAGCATCAGGGCAATACTGTAAACACTCCTTCCGCCCTGTGTCCAAACCAGCCGCTACATGAAGAACAAGTCTCCTTAAAGAAGAAGAAGAAGAAGAAGAAGAAGAAGAACCTTTATTAATCCCCCTAGGGGGAAATTCAGTTTTCACTCTGGCTTGTATTTTGTTTTTTTAATACACACACACGGTATACAAGTAGGTGCACACATGCACATGCAATACACACACAGTTATACACACTATACAGAATACACATGCACCTGGAGAGGGCCCGAGCGAAGAGGCTGCCAGTTTAGCCGGCGCCGGGGAGCAGTTGGGGGTTCGGTGCCTTGCTCAAGGGCACCTCGGCAGGGCCCAGGAGGTGAACTGGCACCTCTCTAGCTACCGAACCGGTGACCCTTCAGTCAAGTCCCTACAGACTGAGCCACTGCCGCCGTTCTTCTGTAGTTTCATATGTCAAAAACTCACTGTAGGTTTCAAGTTTGAACTCAAAACCAGTTTGGTCAACAAAGGGATTCCTGGGCCCTGCCATTGTATAGCCGTCTTTAACTTATAGTAGACCTTCTTAGGGGTATGGTCCAGGCTCAAGGGCGTATGGCACTCTCAACTCCAAATATCTGGAACAAACTACCAGAAATCTGCCGGTCCGCTGCAACTCTTACTACTTTTAAATCCAGGCTGAAGACTTTTCTTTTTGCCGCTGCTTTTAATTGAACTATTCACATCTTAAACTGCACTGTAACTTTTATCCATGTATTTTTTCTTTTAATGTTTATTTTATTATCTTTGCTTTTTAATGACTGTTTTTAAATGCCATTTTCTTAATATCTTTCATTTTTGTAAAGCACTTTGAATTGCCTTGTGTTGAAAGGTGCTATATAAATAAACTTGCCTTGCCTTTAGCTCAGACTCTATTCTGACGTTCTGTTGTAGACATGTTGGCGTTTCATTGAATTTTGTCTCTAACCTACGGGACAGTTGCATAAAAACTGTTCTATGTCTTAAATATAACTTATAAATTAGACAATGTATGGACACTTAAATTGCCTGAAGCTATGACTAAATCTGACTTAAATAGCGCTCAAGCAATGCATTATGGATAAAATAAGAGACTTCACAGAAGAGAACATGTCAGACGCAAGAGCAACATCGACTGAAAACCCGCCTGCTGAAAAAACAGTTAAATTGTTAGCTAACAGTAATTTAAAAGAAATGGATAAACATTTGAAAGTATTTAGCTAAAAGTTAGCTAATGCATAAACTGTTGAAATAGTTAGCTATAAGTAGCCTGATGGGGAAAACAGATAGCCTAAAGTAATGGATGAATGTTTAAATACTTAGCCTAAAGTACCAAATAAACAGTTAAAATAGTTAGCTAAATGTTATGGTTGAACAGTGTTAAAACACTAAGCTAACAGTAATGAAAATAATGGTCATTTATTTATTGAAGTAATGGGTAAACAGTTGTAATAGTTAGCTAAAAGTTATGGTTTTACACCTGAAAGTTAGCTAAAGTTAGCTAACATTTATGAACAATCAACTAGTTAGCTAAAAGTATTGGGTAAACATTTGAATACACTTTGCTAAAAATACAGAATAAATTATCAAAATAAGTAGCTCTAAGTAATGGATAACATTCCTAATAGTCGGTCAAAAGTAATGGATAAAAAGTTGAAGTAGTTAGCTAACAGAATACTAATCCAATCCAATCCAGCTTTATTTATAGCACTTTAAAACCTCCAGACCAAAGTGCTGTACAGAGAGATACATAACATATACTAGTTGAAAAAGTTAGCTAAAAATAAGCACCTTTTGCTAAAGATAGCTTATAAACACTGGAAATAGTTTGCAAAAAAACGAATACCAAGTCACGATAAAGACATGGATGTCTAATGATGCTAGTAACCACGCCTGTGGCATTTTTAATGGGGGCTGTAGTTTTTTTTTTCTCTGCTCTCAAAGTAAACATTTTTGTACCTATGTTTAAATATAGACCGTATTGACTCACAGTAGCTAGAGAAACATAGGCTATAGTAATCAATAGCTTACATTTATAAAACTAAGGTTTTTTTTTTATAGGCTTACACTAGCCAACATTAGCCACTGTAAGCTACACTTCAAACCAGATCAAGTGAGTGTATCAAATTCAGAATAACTAAAACGTTTAACTTTAGATTGTAAGAACTATCTTCTTCTTCACACAGTCTGACAGTAGCCTCTCACACCTTCTTAGTCTAACTCTCCTACATGCATCAGTTTTTACAACATGCAGCCAGACTTCATTTGGCCCTTTTGGCTGCACGGCTGGAGTTTGTAAATGTTGCCCAAACGCTATATCTCTCTATCTTTGTTTAGATCTGTTGGTCTTGCAACAACAAAGACTGTATCAAACTAAAACCGTTGCAGATGAACATGATAAGGTTTTAATAATTACAGGGTCACATATCAACTTTAAACCCCCTGCAAATAACTTCTGGTTGCACTTAGGCTCGGGACCTCTGCACCCCCTCTCCCCCTCATCAATAGTCAAAGAACCTCTTATGTAACTTTATATAATGCCTCGCAACCCTTTTGCACACACATTTGGCTGTGTAACGTCCTTTCGCCCTCTTACTCCCCCCACCCCTCTGCTGCTCCTACAGAACTGGTGACCGCGTCCCTTCACCCCTTTTCCTCCCCCCTTGGTTTATGTTCCCCCCCTCCTTCCACCCTCTCATCCATCAATTTTTTTAGTTTTGAAAATACCACACAAGCTTCATGTGGTTTCATGTGTGTGTATGTGTGACTCTGGGTTTGTGTGAGGGGGTTCAGTGCAGGAGGAGGGGTCCCTCAGCACACCTGAATAATACCTTCTTTGTGAGCTTCAGCCCTATAAAGTCCCTCGCAGACGCTTCCTACCCTTGTACACCTCGACCTTCAGTGCGGCTACATACCTTCATCCATCCACCACCAACCCACCTAACGCAGCCATGAGAGCCAGGATGAGAGTAGCACTGCTGTTTCTGGCAGCCGCTGTTTGGGTGGCAAGTGCTCAGACCAACAACAGCAGCAACGTCAAGCAGCAGCAGCAGCAGCAGCAGCAGCAGCAGCAGCAGCAGCAGCAGGAGAAGCAGCAAGATAAGCAGCAAGAGAAACAGCAGCAGCAGCAACAGCTTCAACAGCAGCAGCAACAGCAACAGCAGCAGCAGCAACAACGCAGCGTCTGGGATGAGCCCATCAGATTCACCAGTAAGAGCAAGGACACCTGCACCATGGTGGTGTCTGGAGCCGGGGACTATACTCGCCTGCGTGTCTCCTGCAAAGGTCCGAGCCAGGGTCAGACCCCCGGACGCTCCTACTACTGCGACTTCCAGGGCAAACCCAACCTGTGCCGCGCCTACAACCTCAACCCTCGCCACTTCTTCACCCAGATGATGTGGGACATGAGGAAGCTGAGCCACGCCTGCCAGGGACCCAAAATCTACCGCCCAGCGATGTGCAAGAAATACCCCGAAGAGGCCCAGATGACCTTCCTGGCCTCCTGGCCCAAGACCACCACACCCAAGCCCTCCAAGCCTGTGCAGGAGCCACGTAAGCCTGTGGTGCCCGCCCCGAACAAACCAGTCACCACCCCGAACAAACCAGTCACCACCCCAAACAAACCAGTCACCACCCCGAACAAACCAGTCACCACCCCAAACAAACCAGTCACCACTCCGAACAAACCAGTCACTACTCCCAAATCAGCCAAGCCCAATCAGCAGCCCGCTAAGCCCCAGCCAGGAAAGGGTCCATCCCAGCCCAAGAAAGCTGCCCCCAAGCCTGGGAAGACCACTACCCGTCCCACAGAGCAGACCGACGCGAAATCCTCCCGCATCGCCAACGAGTATTGCTGGAAGAGCTTCCACGGCGTCTGCACCTACTTCATCAGCTGGTTCCAGAACTGAGGTGATACTGCAGACACAGGTGAGTCAGAATTTAAGATAGAAATAGAGAGATTCTGTAAGAGATAGCATGAAAAAGTAAGGTCTAAAAGAGAGTGATAGACACAAATGCATAGATGTTTTGCTTGTATAAATCTAACTGGGAACCAATGCAAAACTAGAAATCATCAGTAGTAGTAGAAGTGATCAAGTGTAAAATAAGAGCAAGTGGAACATTGTATTTGCATTCACAAGGGAAATAAACAAAATGTTCTCCCTTGTTTCAGGTTGGAAATAGCAGCGTCAGATCTCTTCTCGACTATCTTCGACCTCTCCAGGATCTGTGCAGGAGCCTCTGAAGTGATTTTGTCGCCTTGTGAGATCCGACTCACCACACCGGAGCATCTCACGGCTGAGCCACAAACACTCGACCTACACCTGTGTACGGTTAGAGGATGACTGCTTGTGCTGTCATGTAGTGCATATGTCTTTTTTTTTTTAAATCAAATTGTAAAACACACAGCAAGGCAAAAAGGTAAAATATGGCAGGCATGTGATTCTGTTTGTAAATGATGTAAAATCGTGTCATGTAAATGTTCCAACATGTGAAGAGAATAAAGTCAGTTGGGAGACATCTCTGTTTCTGTGTCGCTGTGTTTCAACTGGTTTTCACACACACTCTTTCAAAGGAGTCCTTGTTTCTCTCCATCGCCGTCTGTAACAACATGTCTGCAGCCTGAGTGAGGAAGTTGTTAGAGCGCAGACACAGACGGCAGTGCAGATAATACACAGGGCGCCTGAGCAGAGCCAAACACGTCTTTGTATGAGCCGATGAATTGAGTCTTAAGAGCGACCGTGTGCAGGAACAGAGGAGGTCTGTGTGAGAGGAAACCAGTGAGGCTGCAGCTCCGGTGCTGTTAACACAAACACACACAGTGATAATGATGAGGCTCACCTTTCACAGTGAGAGTAGCTGCTTTGTATGGTAACTCAACTCTATAACATAAATTCTAGTGGTGAAAGAAGCACTCAAATCCTTAACTTAATTGAAAACAATGTAACAGTAAAATAACTCTGTAACAGTTCTGCATTCACACTTCCATATAGTTAGCATACAGATGTTTTAGCAGTAAAATGAAGGTATTAAAATAACTTGTTCTGTAGAAAGGTGGACATTAATGCATCAATGCATAAACAACATGTGACTGTTGTTGCTGATCAGGGTGGAGCTCATTTGAAATACTTAATTTACAGTCATGATGTGTGGCAGTCCAGTGGTTCCAGACCTAAAGGGTTAAGATACATTTGGGGCGGTTGTGAGATAAGCCTGAAAAAGATGGTAAAAAACTATAATCTATAATTTAACTTAAAGGGGACCTATCATGCAAAATGCACTTTTGTACGTCTTTTATACTTGAATATGTGTCCCCGGTGTTCCAGGGAACTCACCAAGTGTCAGAAAACACAACCCTCTCTATTTTCCTCCATACCCAAATCTCTAAAAAAGGGGCTGCAACGGATCTGATAAAAACTGATCCAGATTTGAACACTGTCCTGACGTCAGGACAGTGGCGCTACGGCTATTGGGCCAACTCCACCAATCAGGAGGAGACAGCCACGGCCATTGCCGTTCGAAAGCGCTGGAGACGCTGTAGTACATATGCCAGGCCAGTAGATGGTGCTGTTCTCACTGAATCTGCCCTTGCTAAACCAGAGCTAGAAATTGTCAAATTGAGCAAAATGAGGCATGGCTAAAATGCATGATCTGTTTGGTATTTTGAAAAAAAGAAAAGTATAAATATGCCTTATATAGGTATGGTCCTACACTATATTATTCAAATATAGCATGATAGGTCCACTTTAAATCTTTAGTTGAGAAATAATACATTGTATTACATATTGAACCATTGAACAGTAATTTAAATTAAACCACGTGAGGAATTTGAATGGGAAAAGTCATGACCTCTGAAATATGACACCTTTATGAATGGCACTTTTGCAAATGGCTACAAACAATTTTAACCACTGGTTTAATCTTTAACAATGTGTTGTATGTTATATGATTTTAGTGTTAAATATTAATCTGGAAAGTAAAGTAACAAGATGAAAGGTGAAAAAGCGTTTTTTATGGAAGTATAAAATAGCATTAAAAAGGAAAAACTCAAATAAAGTACAAGTACCTTAAGAATTATACTTCAGTAGTATGCGAGTAAATGTAATTCCACAACTATTCAAATGTATGTATCACCTTTTATTGTGTAATGGTAAAGAGGCTGCTTAACCAATATCAGCCACAAGATGGGGATGCTGACACACACACACACACGAGGTAGAGCTGTGGTTTCATCATTCACAGGTGAAGGTGAAAGAAAAAGAAAATATGAAAGTGAAAGACTACAGTTAGACTTAATCTCTTATCATTTGTAAAGAAGAAGGGAAAACAGCTATATTTGTTAGGCAAACTAAATACACACACACACACACACACACACACACACACACACACACACACACACACACACACACACACCCTAACCCTGACACAGTGACTCAGTGATCATTTTCTGTAACTTGTGATATTTTTGGACTCGTGCCCATATCAAACTCTATATGGCTCTGTCCTTTATCACCATGATGTCTTTGTTCAGTCAGCAGTCTGAGCTGAAACATGAACACAGGGTGGGGTGGATCCATTCATTCACCTCTCTGTTGTAAGTGATATAGTTCAACAGCACAACATCAAACATAAAGTTATACATGTATAACAGCTCTTTTATTTAATGTTAATAAACTAAGAGCAATCTAGAAATGTATGTTTGTATTGTGGCTTTGTTTTGTTGAATGGAGAATTATTCGACGCTCTTTTTACATGATGCCACTTTCTTGCAACATACTTTTATTAATATGGAAGTTGTTTTTGATGGGATTAGTTTTGTGTCATAAAGATAAAGCAACACTTTCTCAGAGTCAAGCAAAATATAATTTATTTCAAAAATAAAACTAGAAGTTGCAAACAAATCATTTGTGTAATCATGTAAGCCATAAGTATTTTTTCTTTGTTTTAACATATATTTTTGTTTGCAGTTCTCTTTGCTTCTTTCTCAATGATCAGACTTTTGCTCTCGCTGCAGCTCTCTCGTTTGCGCATTCTGACACAAACGTCCCCGGTGGGCGGGACTTTCAGGGGTGCGTCCCCATTGGCTACTCAGTTTTTGACTGACAGCCCACTACACCACAGATCATAGTGCAGCAAACTCCGTAGTCAACTCGGCCACGTTTGTGTTGGTGCCTCCTGGGGAGTTTTCATGAAAATATCGGACTTATCTTATGGATTGCTGTGCATTATACTTGTGTTGTGTAGTTTATACTTTATTCCAACTTTAAATATTTTAATACCTGAACACACTGCTGCTGTAAAATAATTTCCCAATTTGGGATTGATAAAGTGTCTGTCTGTCTATCTATTTATTTTATAGATAAAAAACACATCTATGTATTTTCAAGCTAAAGGTGATACACAATATAAACTGTATACTGTTATTTGTTCAAAGACATGTTAGATTTCAAAAGCATATATGGCTATGTTTAGGACAAACAATTAAAGACTGCTTTAATTTAACAAATTCTACAATATAAAAGTGGCAGATTTGCTTTATTAAACAGACCAGACCTAGGTAGCATACCAACACAATTAGGAACATGCTCACATCTTACTATGTTGGTCTGAAGAGCTGAAGCATTCATACACAATGGATAAAAACGGTGTTGTCTCATTCTCACATTCATGTGAGAAAATGATATACATTTAGCATTAAAAATTCGACATACTATTCCTAGCTTGAGGAAGATATGAATAATCAACAGATTTGAATGGAATCTCTAACATTTTCATGAATGAAGACAAAAGAGTGATTATACAAATTACATTTATGAGAAGATTAAGTCTCAAAGAATGTTTTAAATAAAAGGACATAAAACAAAAAGGTGGATAATAATAACATCTATTAAATGTATATGTAAAGACATTTGGTCAAATTAAATGACACTGAGCAAGTGATAACAGCAACGCCCAGCGTGGACGAAGCTGGTGCAGGTCTTTCTTCATGCCCCCCCTCCGTGCTGTCCCCTCAGAGGAAGTGGGAAAACGGGATAAGACCTCTGGACACCACGCTGTCTTAATGATCCACACTGTTAATATGAGAGGAAAATAAATGTTTTAGAAAATGAAAAATATGAAGTAAAACTCAGCTCAGGGGCAGTCATGGATAGGTTTTCCTACAAAGAGAAGTAGTAAACTCAGCCTCCATTGATTTTCATATCAAATTAGCGTGTTAATAAAATAAGCTATCATGGCTTATACTTGCATATCTAAACAGAATCATGAAAGCCTGTTGGTAGAGTCAGGCACACAGGAGTCCGTTTGAGTGTGTCTGCCGGTGTCTGAACGCTCACTCACTGCTAGCTATACTGTCCCTGCTGTTAGGCTACTTACCTTGCATTGTTATGGATCTAAAGTTAGCACAAGCTAACTTTCATAGCACAGCTTTTCTTTACTTCTCACGAACACAATAAAGAAACGGACCGTATAGTACAGCACAAACAACACAAATGATCAATACTTACATATATTTTCACTTGTAGTATTATAATAATTGAAATGCTGGTTCTTCTGGGGGTCTTCTGTCCATGCTCAGCTACCGCAGCTGCACTGTACAATCGCTGGAGGACTGGGCTGTCACTCAAAAGCTGAGTAGCCAATGGGGACGCACTCCTGAAAGTCCCGCCCACCTGGGATGTTTGTGTCAGAATCGAAAACAAAAAACGAGAGAGCTGCAGCGAGAGCAAAAGTCTGATCATTGAGAAAGAAGCAACAAGAACTGCAAACAAAAACGTATGTTAAAACAAAGAAAAAAGACTTATAGTTTACATGATTACACAAAGATTTGTTTGCAATTTATAGTTTTATTTTTGAAATTAATTTTATTTTGCTTGAGTTTTTTTTCCTCTTATGGCGCATTTCCACTACACGGCCTCGCTCGGCCTTGCTCGGTATGGCTAGGCCTCGTTAGGACTGGCTCACTTCATGGCGCATTTCCATTACAGTTTAGGAACTGGGGTAGTATCTATAGTAACGCAGTGTAGGCGGAGCCGTGACGTCATCTTCAATGAGAACCCCAGAAAAACAACACAGCCGTTAGCTGTTAGCACTCAGAGCTCACAGCTCCTCATATATGTTCAGAAACTAGACAAAAGTTAAACAAGTACAAACCACAGACTGTCTGTGTCATGGCGAATACAGTCGCTGCTTTATTTATGTCTGTATAGGCCGTTGTTGTGAGTGTGGACGGTCGGACCATATACTGCGTTAGCTTAGCCAATCTCCATCTAGAAAACACGCATTTTAAAAGGTTTTTCGCCTGCCGTCTGTCTGCAGACTTGTCAAAGCATTAATTCATGGTTTTTACTAACCGGTATCAGTATGTTGTTACTTCAGCATCATTTTGAAACGTGTATTACAATTAAATCATGGTCAAATATGTCCATCTTGTTGTAGTTGTAGCCCCCTTGCCAGCGATTCTCTCTAGTTTAGCATACTCAGCCCGACTCAGCGTCGTTGTCTCTG